CCGTTGAAGGTAAGGGCTGAGAATCTGAAGAGGCCGACTGGCGACCAGCGCAGTTCTCTAATGGGGGCACCTGTTCTCTCAGTCAACATCGGTCTGCAATGTTCTGCGAAACTTACCTTCACTGTTGGCATCCAAATCTTTAATGATCGAAGGCCCGCGGACAACATCCTCAAGCACTCTGGGCTGCTGTCTCGCAGTACTAGGATCAATCTCAGGTCTAAACACCCAGGACCTCCGATCCGTCAACGCCAAACCCTTCGGCCCCCAAAACTCCTTCTCAACCTCCACAAGGACCATCTCCCCTGCTGATCGACTCTTCTTCGGCGTCGCACTCAGCAACCTCGTCTTCTCCTCGACGTGATCACCCACACGAAGCGACACATCACTAACCCAGGTCATCTTACCACCAGCCCACATCCTCCGCGTGAACGGCTTAGAGGCATTATAAGTGGTATCGCTCCCGTCAGCGCCTAATTCTGCTTCTGTGCCATTTGGTGTGAAGTATACGAGATGATAACCCGCTGGTATCGGTGTGCCTTCAATAGGCGGCCGCTCAGATACGTCTTTGCCGCTCAGTGTTGGACGATTAAGCGTAAGGGCCAATTTTTGGAGTTGATTTGCGTCGAGAAACTGACGGCGAACAATGGATTTATTGGAGAATGTTTCAAGCAGGTGGGATGCTGCGTCTGCGGCAGTGGCCTTGAGGTTGCGGAGAGACATGATGGCTTGTGTAAGTGATGCGGGGTGAAACTTGGAGGGGAACGTGAGCAGATAAATGATCAGTGATCGGCCAATTAGTCAAGTTGCCGATACCCCAGAAATTGGATAAACTCACGACTTGACATTGAACATGAATTGTTCTTAAATATTATTCCATATCTTTCCAATTGTTGTTGTAATCGAGAGGCTACAGGTTAGTCTACACACAGGCATTTGAAGTATAGTCACTGAATAAAGACTAAGGATCCCAAACACAGGATATTCCAGCATAATTTAGTAATTATTAACCATAAGATTAGGATGAGACCATAGTAGCATCTTCTAAAGATATATGACATGTGCTTTACAGCTCCAAAAGAGAGGAATGTCTTACAATTGAACCATCTTGAGTTGTTCTTGAGATGTAGTTAAACGTCCGGCTCCACTTTCGGCAGGCGGTCAAGTTCCGGGTACAAGGGTATTCAATCTCCGACCAATCACGTCGCTGCCATTATTATTCCGCTCACATTTCCCCAGGAATTTTTTATGACCCATCCTCCGAGGCCGGCTTCGCAGACAAAAAACATGAAGCTATCCCCAATCTAAAACTCGCACTCTTTTCCATCCACCCGACACCGTCGCCGTCTCGATCCAGAATTGACTTTCTGGTATGGTATCTGGTCTTGGTATCTGATTGAGCATTCACAATGGTTGCTTTTGTATGTGCCCTTAGCCACAGTCTTCTCGAACGCAGTCTGACAGTCTGTACAGAGAAGAGCAGTCACTCTGAACGCCGTCGCGGTTGCGCGGCTCCAGTCTCGAACCTTGATATCTCGCTCTCGATCCCTCGTCATCGCCACACAACATCGTGCCTACACGTCGCCGAGTGCCCGACGGCAATATGCCTTTCACACTCAACTCGAGAACTCGTCTACTTCTACCTCCTCAGCCTTCCAGTACCAGCGTGCGCCTGTGGTAGAGAATCCCCAAACTCTTGTCGAAAAGATAGCGCAAAAACATGCCGTCGGTCTTCCTGAAGGCAAGAAAATAAAGAGCGGCTCGTATCTGTCGTTGGCGTACGTTGTCAGAGCACAATGACATGAAGCTCAGAGCGCTGACATCAACTTCAAGTCCGAAACACATAATGTCACATGATAATACCTGGCCTATAGCCCGAAAATTCATTGAAGAAATTGGGGCTTCTAAGATATATGACAATCGTCAACTTGGTGAGTGGTGGTTGTGTTCTGTGGACTGACGATGGCATCTACCTCTCTCCACGGGATGCGTTGTACCATGGGAATTGCCTCACTAACTCCCCAACAGTGTTCACGCTTGATCATGACGTCTCAAACACCTCAGAGTCCAACCTTCGAAAGTACTCGTTAATTCGTGAATTCGCTGAGAAGCACGGGGTCACAAACTATCCTGCTGGAAGGGGAATTGGACACCAGATCATGATCGAAGAGGGTATGAAACGACTCAATCAGTTTGAAGAAACACTGTACTAACGCAAGATAGGATACGCCTGGCCAGAGACAGTTTCCGTAGCTAGTGACAGCCACAGTAATATGTACGGAGGTATGACACACGGCAAAAGTCAAACTTTAAGGCTGCTAACACACATGTAGGTATAGGTTGTCTCGGCACTGCTGTCGTTCGTACAGACGCAGCCGCTATCTGGGCTACTGGACGGACCTGGTGGCAGGTCCCCCCCGTTGCAAAGGTCACTTTCACTGGCATTCTTCCCCCTGGAGTTACTGGCAAGGATGTCATTATTGCTCTCTGCGGCCTCTTCCGTGATGATCAAGTCTTAAACCACGCCATCGAGTTTGCTGGTGGTGAGAGCCTCACTATCGACGAGCGCTTGACCATCAGCAACATGACAACGGAGTGGGGTGCCCTCGCTGGTGTCTTCCCTGTCGACGATGTGCTCATCTCATGGTACCGCGCCAAGGCCACCACCAACGCCATGTTCAACGGTTCTTCAAAGGATCGTATCAACCACAAGAGAATCGACGAGCTCGATCAGAACAGATTGTCTGCTGATCCCGGTGCCACGTATGCTAAAGAACTGTACCTCAACCTCTCAACTCTATCACCGATTGTCTCAGGACCCAACTCTGTTAAGGTCGCCACCCCCCTGCACAAGCTTGAGGCTGAGAACATTCCCGTCAACAAGGCTTATCTCGTGTCTTGCACCAACTCTCGAGCATCTGATATCGCGGCTGCCGCTCGTGTGTTCCGTGAGGCCGCTAAGGAGGGTAAGCCCGCCAAGGTTGCTCCTGGTGTCGAGTTCTACATCTCCGCGGCATCCGTTCCTGAGCAAAAGATTGCCGAGGAGGCTGGAGATTGGCAGGTGTTGGTTGAAGCTGGCGCTATTCCCATGATCTCAGGATGTGGACAATGTATCGGCTTGGGCAAGGGTCTTCTTGAGCCTGGTGAGGTTGGTATTAGTGCCAGTAACCGTAACTTCAAGGTAAGAAGCTCTTATCACCGTTGAACTATAACCAAAAGCTAACACCTATTCAGGGCCGCATGGGTTCTACATCAGCCAAGGCATACCTCTCCAGCCCTGAGATCGTTGCTGCCAGTGCTCTCCAAGGCAAGATCGCTGGCCCTGGCTGGTACCAGAAGCCGGAGGGTGTTGAGAAGGTCATCATCGGGGAGGGAAGCGGTGACTTTGTTGCTGATAAGGCTTTGTCCATTGAGGATGCCCTTGACAAGATCATCAACGAAGCTGATGCTTTGATCGCCGCTGCTGAGAAGTCTGAGGGTGCCGCTGAGGAAGCAAGCCCTGCTGCGTCCGAGGAGGAGTCGCTGACAGAGATCCTCCCGGGCTTCCCTGAGAAGGTCGAGGGTGAGATTGTCTTCTGCGACAGCGATAACATCAACACTGATGGAATCTACCCTGGTTCGTCAAGCCCTCCTCATTCCCCACGGCTCAACTAACAGCTTGATAGGCAAGTACACATACGAGGACAACATCACAACAGAGAAGATGGCCGAAGTCTGCATGGAGAACTACGACACCGAGTTCGGCAAAATCGCCCAGCCCGGCGATATCCTCGTCACCGGCTTCAACTTCGGCTGCGGATCATCACGCGAACAAGCCGCGACCGCCATCCTGGCCAAGAAGATTCCTCTCGTGGTCTCGGGCAGCTTCGGCAACATCTTCAGCCGCAACAGCATCAACAACGCGCTCATGGGCGTCGAGGTACCCCGTCTAGTCGAGCGTCTCCGCGAGACGTACAAGAACGACACTGAGAAGCCACTCACTCGACGAACAGGGTGGAAGTTTGTCTGGGATGTGAGGCGGTCAAAGGTCGTTGTTACGGAGAAGGATGGCAAGCAATGGGAGCAGAAGGTTGGAGAATTGCCTGCGAATGTGCAGGAGATTATCGCGAAGGGTGGCTTGGAGAAGTGGGTTAAGTCGAAGATTGAGGCTTGAAAAGTGCAATTTTTGTGTAATATAGAGGGTATTAGATGTTGGAAATAAGTAAAAGTCTTGAACCTCATGAAACTGACCCATTGGTTGGGAGAGACAGGAAATCTTGGGATCTTTGCCCCAAGACTTGGGCATGTTGAGTACATCTTAGGAGGCCTTCGGACCATTGAGTTCTGCAGATTGAGTCAATACCAGAAGTTTTGTTGCTCCTCGGGGCTTGGCGAATGCTCTCCCAGCCGACAAAAGTAGGTAGGTAATCTTAGAAGTTATTGAGAGGGCTGTTGGCTGGGTATTTTTGGCACCTTGCCCCAAGCTCTCTCCGCATCTCATCATCATTCAACGCAAAGAGCACTTCAACATCATCAAGCTTTATCAAGTGCCCCCATTAATCGAACTACAACCAGACATCGAAGACAGAGCACAAGGAAGAAAGAACACAATCCAAGGATGATATGTAGCCCCGCTGTCAATATGTCGCGATTAGCTTCACGATGCCTCATTTACCTCCACCCATTGCTACGTCAGCCAGCACAACGACGCACCTTCTCAACAACACTCCCAAGACATCTCATGAGCCTGACAGGCTTCTAAGACAACCAACTAACAGTCCGCAACGCTGTCAGAAAATTATGTGTCGAACGCAACCTCTTGCCAAGTTTGGGTCAAGGGAGCAATTGGAGGAGACTATTCCTAAGATTGTGTTGGGAAGTGTAGAGTGTGCTTTGGAGTCACGGCGCCATACGCTGGGCTAGATACACTTCGTCTAGAGAAGGAGGCGAGGGAGAACTCTGATGGTTCATTCAACGTTAAGGACCAGAAGATCTGGATAACCTGTGCACAAGTAGCGTCAAAGATGATCCTCGCGAGAACTACACCACTAGATAAGGTCAAGAAGCCAAGCGAATGTCTCTCACTTCTCTGCATTGATTTCAACTATAACAACCAGGTCTCGAAATGCGACGGCTCAAGAAAATGGGTGGCCGAGCTGTCGACACCAATGAAGTATTCTTCGACAACTATACCATCCCCTCCTCATCCCTCATCGGCGCAAAAAACAAGGATTTCGAAATGATTCTCCACGGAATGAATGCCGAGTGCTGCCTCCTCGCCGGCGAAGCCCTCGGTCTCGGCTACGCGTCCCTCTCCAAAGCAGCATCCTACGTCAAAACCCGGGTTGTGTTCAAACGACAGATCGGGATGAACTAAGCAATAGCTCATCCACTTGCCGATGCGTACATGAACCTTGAAGCGGCGAAACTAGCGTTATATCACGCTGCGAGGCTGTACGATGTGAGCGGACAGGTAATGCAGGATGAGATTGGGATTGCGGCGAATAGTGCAAAGTATATGGCTGCTGAAGCGGCGTTTGCGGCGTGTGAGAGGGCGGTGTTGACGTTGGGGGGGATGGGGTATGCGGTTGAGTATGAGGTTGAGAGGTGGTTTAGGGAGTGCCTCGTTCCGAGGATTGTGCCGGTTGGTAGGGAGATGATCTTGAATTATATCAGTGAGAGGGTTCTTGAGTTGCCGAGGAGTTATTGATGGTATAGCCAGACTTGCTGGAGGGCGATATGGCCAACCGGGACTACAACAGACGACGCTTGGGAAGCCTCGTTATTGTTTATTTAGCCAGTATCAGATTACGTGAGGTCCAAGACTCTCCTTTACAGCATTGGCTACTAAAGAAGATACGATATCACACTCTTATGAATGGAAGAGGTCTCAGCCGCTCATGGTTGTTAGTCCGATCTCGGCGAAGTGCCAAAACTGCCTGATTAGGAAGTAAGCGTTGCAATCACGACGCCGTCTATACCATTTTATAAAATGTATACATCATTCTTGTAACAATCATGCTCATTGCCATATAATTCCCTGAATTATCTCGACTCCATTTCGCCTGTTGACGATAGTGCCAAAAGACTCATCGGCTCCAATCGGATATCCATGGTCTTCGGATGACAGATCTACACCCCGCGATCGCCTTCATCTCGACATTCCCTCACGTCTCACCAACATCAATCAACAAAAGGCAACTCACCCAAAATGGCACGATCACCAGTCTCTACGAAAAAGGCCCCCGCTGTGCCGCAGAACTTGATGAATCAGGCCGTCATCGCCAATGGCTTCGTCTTCACATCCGGCGGCGTCGCAATGGACCCCAAGACGGGAAAGATGATTGACGGCGACATCGAGGTTCACACGGTAAATCAATTCCTCTCCTAAACGAGTTTCAGATGCTAACTGAGATATGTCAGCGCCAAATTATTTCCAACCTCGGCGCCATTCTTGACGAGGCTGGCTCAAGCCTCAATGATGTGATTGAGGTGAACATTTATTTGTCTGATATGAAGTACTACGCCAAGATGAACGAGGTGTATGCTGAGTATTGGGGTGATGTCAAGCCTGCTAGAACGTAAGTCAACTTGGAAATGGCTCAGATGAGAATGCTGATTGTAGTAGATGCGTTGCTGTCAAGAGTCTTCCGATGAACGCCAATATCGAGATTAAGTGTGTTGGAGTCGTCACCAAGCCCAAGTCAAAGCTGTGAGAGAAGTTGCCGCTGATTGGGGACTGGCATTGCCTGCGAGTAGAGGTTCGAAATAATGTTCCATAATTAGTAGTTATTAGGTATAGTCTATGCGAGACCACATATCCTCGGGTCATTCGTTACGTGATGTGTATTCAGGCCATATTGCAAATGCACTATTCTGTGGGTAGACGGCTTCTCCATGCTAGGGTGTTGTTCAAGAGCGTAGGAAACGAGTGATACATTTGGAGACCAAAAGCTCAGGGCGTGGTGTGTTATGGCAACGAACTCTCTAGGTGATACTGCCTACATCTAGAAAGCACAGTCCATTGACTTCTGTGACAGCCGCGTTTAGCATTGAGGTTAGTGCCGCGTGCGATAAACAAGTTCCCAATTTTGGCTATGATGTGATGGTGCTGCCGTAGCTCTTGGCGTTATACACTGTTGCGTGGTGGTACAGGACTATCCTGCCAGAGTGATCACAGTAGTAGGGATCAGGACCGTGTTGGAGGAGGGCTGCCACAACATCGACGTTCTTCAGCCTCATAACGCAAAAGACGGCGACCCTCTCATCGTCAGAGATAGAAGTGTTTACACAGACGCCACATTGGCATAGAAGCCGCATAATCTTGGTATCGCCTGCTACCGTTGATGAACTACAGGAATCTGGCCGTGCTCGTTACCGGCTTCGGGGTTGAGTCCTAGGCTGAGAAGCTGTTTGCCTAGATCAGGGAACCCATGAACTTGAAGATAGTACAGCACACACGTACCGTCATGATGCTCGGCATTCGGGCCAGCACCGCACCGTAGAAGATCTGCGATGATGACGGCAGCGTTGTCACGGTAAGTCACAGCGGAATGGAGGGTGGAAGTTCCATTGCTCTCTAGAGCATTGGGATCAGCACCGTTCTGTAGCAATGCATACGGGAAGCTACCACCCACACTTACGGAGCGCACGCAAGGCTCTGTATGTACGCGAAGGGTCGGATTACCTGATGAGTCCAAGAAGGTATTTACATCAGCTCTGGGTTGCAGGAGTTTAGTAGCAAGTCAGGTACGACACTCTCCAGTGCCAGACGACTGCGTAACAATGTGTAGCATGCATTGGTAAATTCTAGACGACGTTATGATGCCTCTAACGTGTCGGAGCACTAAGTCTAGGATAATAAACATGCTATAGGACCATGGCAATGGCCTGCGGGATGAAGAGTAGCCAGGCGATACTAGTCACATCTGTTCACGTCCGAGATGCCGTGCTCAATATGAGCAAGGTGATACTGCAAACTGTAGCATGAGTTTGCTTAGGACTGAGGCTCTAGAATTGATAAGCTTGTAGAACTGAGTGTTTGGGTAGAACCGAAGAAGTAACTCGACCATGGACAAGTCGATTGGCGATAATAAAGACCTGGTGGAGCGACCCAATGAGGCGAAGACTTCCGGCCTCCATGAGCATCTCGATTGGCTCAGCACGCCGTTGGGAGGCTCCAGTCACAAATAATTCCCTTACCAACTCGTCATTACGGCTCGCAACCCGCAAACCGGGAAAGCTGAGGCATCCAGACTTGCCTACCATCCCTGAAGGAAAGGTGCGGCAAGTTTCCGCCCGGTATCTGGTGCCAGACTAACAGGGGTCAGGCTTGGTCCCTAGAACGATCTCATATATGCGACGAATATGAGATCACCGGGACTCTGTACACATGGAGCAGAGGGATGCCACCGTGGTACATATGCGTGCCCAGCTCGTCTCCGGTAATACTATCGTCACCACCACCGGACGAGCGGCTTGTTGATGCTCTGAAAGACGGCACGTCGGCCCCAAATAACACAGAAGCATACTGTACATTGCCCCGTACGTGTTGAGCCCAGAGATGTTCTGCGTGTGAGCTGCCAGAGGAAGAACTGAGGGTGCCGGACTCTCTGGACCCCCTAAACAGTCTACGCGCCTATGCACCATGGCAATCTCGGCCTGCTCTGTGCTGGTGCTGAAGTCTGTTGAGAGATCGACTTCTTTTTGAACCTCCAAATCGCAATCTTTTCCTCTCAAAAACTAGACCACTGACACATCCGTAGCGCTTTGATCGAGATAGAGTTGACCATCCGGCATTAACTTATAAATAGTATCTTGAGCTTCAGGTTCTCTGCTATGCAATGGCGGAGAAGTGAACAGAAATCTAGACTAATTTAGCCACAGCTTTGCAAAAGCATCAGGCAATACTTTCGTTGTTAGTGTACGGAGTGTCTTGATGACCCAGCGCACAAGAGATATCCTAGGCGGCCACCAAGGCCTGATACGAGCCAAGAGGTGTGTATAAAGAAATCCGAGAGCTACAGAGAAGCAACATAACATCTAGCACATCTCCGTCGTTGGTCTTGCGCTGTACGAGTCCGTCGATTGCAAAGCCGACCCAAAGAAAAGTGTCGCCAGATCACCGCCGGAACATGTTTTTGACCTCGGTCACGTAGTCTGGTCCCAGCTTTTAGGCATGCTATGTTTATCGATATTGGGGCTGATGACTAGCGAAATATCAACCGCTGTACCGGACTTGGTATCCTCAAGACACAGGCACGGTTCGCTTTGTAGGCCAGACACATCACCACTCACCACCGTCAGCGTCGACAGGGCTGCCAGTTATGGAATGTAGTCTGGCGAGCAGCCACTGTAAAGAGTCCACGAAACATTCAACCATTGTATCCACGAGGCGGAAAACCAGGTCTTGCCGGGCCTTTGGACTTTCTTGGTATCCCCCAGCGCCATCCGCAACGAAATGGCATAGCGTGTCTTCATTCCGCCCTTCCTGTAAGGATCGACAGGCTGGGCTTTCTGGAATATCTAGTGAAGGAACAAGCGGGGGACGGTAATCGCCACGATGTCCTCGATCCATCAATGAAGAAGAATAGCATGGGTATCATGATGAGCTCTAGCCGGCTCCTCGGCGCAATGGTCATCACTGCATTTTCTTTACACAGTGAACAACAGGCCTAAGAGACGTCGCATGACAAAAGAAGTACATATGCCTGTTGACTAGGTAACCTTGAATAATATGGAGAAGGTAGATTAAAGGCTCCAAGGTGCAGATGTAACGTTGCAGTGTTAAACGCCTATCCCTTCATTGGCATGTTTGGTCTTGACGAATGCAAAGTGTTTCAATGAATAAGAACAAGGGGGAACTAATTTACACTCGCAGTAGTTCACAAGGATGCAAATAACAAGCCTCCCACGACTAGCCCTAACGTGATCGCCAAAGAAACGGAACACCGAACTGTGTCATTCCCCTTCGGAACATCAGCACTCTCTTTCCCACCCGTTCCACCTGCTTCCGTAAAGTTAGAAGATCCAGCCAGTTCCAAACGTTCCAAACCGCCCTCAATCTTATCCAGCGGCGCAACAAACGCCATCTGACTCCAACTAAACTGCGTATTCCTCCCGCCATACACAAAGACCTCAAATCTTCCGACCAATTCACCATTGCTGAACACAACCGTTCCATGCAGGACGTCCGTCACCAGAGTGATGTTGGTTGGGGTAGCGACTTTGACGGGCTTGTGCGTGGATGAAGTGTTGACCCAGATACGACCTGGAGCTCCAGGGTCAAGATCGAGTGCGTCGTTTTTAGTGACTTTGCGAAGGGGGTATTCCCATCCATCGGCAGTGACGACCATGTTTCCATCCTTATCGAGAGAGAGGACATTGTCGGGACCGGAGAGGGTGAACGGGCCTGTAATGGAGAGTGTGAGGGTGTAGTTCATCCCCTTGCTCCCATGACCAAGATGAACTTCATTTCCATCGTTGTCTGAACGAGTCCACGACAACAAAGAACCATTACCCCCGAGAGATAGCACCCTATCAAGATTCTGACCTGGAGCCCGCGGAGAGTAAAAGTCAACACTGCTATCACTCGTTTCCTCCAGCAACTTCGGTCCTCGACTTCCACTCCACGCCCTCCCTCCCACCACCGCGATACCCCTCCTCATAGAGTAATACGCCTCAAGTTGAGTACTCGCATCAGGACCGTTATCATTCCACGCAGCCAACGTCGCACCCCTCAACCTCTTCTCATCACTCTTCAGCTGCAAACTCGTATTCACAGGGTTGAAATCAGCAGGCGTCCACTGCCACTCCTCCTTATCCGCAAAGTTGAAAACACGACTCTCGTTAAAGAACTGCGGGTAACGCGCTGGGAGGATAGGCATGTGGTCGTTTTTGAGACTTGTGTAGGCCCACCAGTCTTCTGAGTTGATGACATCGTAGCCATCTTTGGCGAGTTGCACGGGGTCGGATTGGCCGTACTGCCAGTGCTGTATGATGACGTTCTTATCGATTGTTTGGTTTCGTTTTGACGGTTCATGAGTACCCCAGATTCGACTTCTCTTGTTGGACGTGGAGTTTATGAAACGGCTCATTTTGTTGACGAAGGTGATGTAGTCATCAGCAAGTTCGGCGTCGTATTCATCAGCACCAATATGGACTTCTTTCGTCTTGAACCATGGGAGAAACTCTTTCCAGATACTCTGTACCGTTGGTAAGGTGTCTGGATGCGTCAAGTTTAGCAAATCCTTCTTGGCCAGGGCAAGCTCCGGTTTCCACTTAGTGAGGTATAGAGAATGACCCGGTGCCTCAATCTCTGGAATGACGGTGACACCTCGCGAAGCACAGTGGCTCTGAAGTTCTGCGAAATCATCTTTCGACAACGTCTCGTTCTCTCGTCCATGAAGAATGCCCCGTAGCGATTTATCCTCTGGCAACAGCGAAAAGTGAGAGTAAACATCTCTCCAACTATCATTCTTGCCACGATTCAGCGGATAGTTGTCACTAAGATGGTAGTGAAACTCATTCATCTTGAAGAACGAGGCATAGCTGCAAAGCTCCTTGAGAAAGTCCTTCGAATACCACTTTCTTCCTGCATCAAGCATGTATCCTCTAGTGGCGTAAGCCGGGGCATCTCGACCAAGAGTACTCGTGATCGATCCGTTGCCAGCGAGGAGGAGTTGAAGAAATGTTCTGGTTCCCCACCACATTCCTCGAGCGCCTGATCCACCGATGAATACGCGATTGGAGTTGATGATGATCTCGTAGCCTTCTGATGTTGATTTCCCGTTCTCGTATGTGAGATCAGAAGACTCCCCAGTGTAGGGGCCAAGTGAAATTCCACTGGCATTGGTAGGAAGCGATTCGACGCGCTTCAGCGTCCAGTTGGATCCTGTGATCTTGGCGAGATCATCTTGAAAGGTAGTCGCGAAATCGTGGGCGGTAGGCGGAATCAAAGTCAGACCATCTTTATCCGACACAGAAGAAAAATTCTTATCGATGTATATGACCTTTGGACTTGAATCAGCAGACCAAGTCTCTTCCACAAACGAATCAGCTTTTTCAAGAATCGGAGGAATGAGGTCTTGTGCTACAGCCAGCAGAGGCGAAGCAAGCAGAATGCCTGCGACCATATATTCCTTCAACATGACGCCACTATTCTCAAGCCCAATATGTAGAGTACAAGTTCCTTACTCCCATCATAGATTAATCGGGGTTATCGTAATGTTTGCTTGTTGTTTGCCGATCTTGGCGAGATCTGGGTCTTGACTCCGCAACAAGTGCGGGGATTCTACTTGATTGTAACAACACGAATGTAACTGCAACCATGACCTCTTATCATCCATTCGAAAAAGATCCCGAAGCACACCTTCTTGTTTAAGCTTGGGCTTAAAGTTGGCTACCCTGGTCTCGCTCCAACTTTTGACTGTTCAAGCCTCAGAACTTGAAAAGCGCTATATGTGCGTAATTGAGTCAATCGCCTCTGATCTGACTTGGATTTAGCAGAAGCTCATCATGCACAAGATCGAGTTGAATAATTACTGTTACTGAGGCGAAAGAAGATCGAAGCAGAAGTATGACTCAAGTCGGGCCATATTCTCAGTGGTCAGCTGATTATGGCTTTTACGAAGAAACACAACAATCCAATCCCATAAATAATTATCTATTCTAATGTGGTTATTAGTACCCGAAAAACAAAAACATGTTTCTTTCCCCCCGTTTCAACTCAAGGCAACTCGTATCTCTCTATTAGCGGCCTCTTTTGCTGAACATGATGAGCATGCATCTCATATATCCGCCTCTCATCAGCCGATATCTCGTACGGGGGCATCTTATGTCTAGGAACATGCATCTCCTGAGGTGGAAGATCGCTCGGGGGCCAATATATCGAGAACCCATCCAATGGCTTCTTCTTCATCGTGAGTTTCGCCGGATATCTTCTGCGTTTCCGTCGCCAGATGAAGACACCAACACCAAGAAGTATGACACCGAAAGCAGAGCCAAATCTGATGCCCATTCCAACCTTTGAAGCCGTCGGCATGAATGGCTTCTTTTCATCTTTGTCTTTCTCTGGCTGCGGAGTCATTTTGTTTGGTGTGCTTAACGGCGCTGCTTCGTCATTCCAGGCACTAGCCCATGACATTTCCCAAGCATTTGTCTCAAATTGGCCATCGCTACTTTCGACACTCATGTCAGAAGACCCAGTCGATTGGATATCTCGAGCGCCTTGGAGTCTGGGACCTGGTGCCTGAGCCAACAACCACCTGTTGACATCAGGGCCCCAATTCGCACCGAGGAACGCATCTTGAAGAAAAGCGCGCCCGAGAACATATCGCCCATTGTCGTTGACGTGACAGGGAAAGTAGGGAATTGGATTGTCGACGATGGGTTCGGAGAGTGTGAGGTTGAGATGCATGAGGGGAACACGGATCTTGGTTATATCACCCATGTTAGGGAATGAGAATGATAGAGCTGTAGCGGAGTTGACGATTATTTCGTATTCTTCCGACTCTGTGTCCCAGAGATAAAGACCAAGATCTTCATTGAACGCGACAGGAAGATATTCGGCAATGCTGTCGCAGGTTGACTTTGGTAGAGTAAGATAGGGTGAACAGCCATCGATCGTGACATTGAGACCTTTTCTCAATGTCGAATTCCCCTTCGCGAGGAGACCCTCCTTCGCCTTTGGCGGGTTCTTCCCAAAACCCTCGATAGCGATATCATAGAGTTCAATACCCTCGTCTCTAGGGCTTCCCGGTGTGATGAGCACGTTTCCGATAATACGGGCCTTATCATAACCACCAAACACAAGAGACCCAGGAATCCAAGGATCAGGTGACCCAATGTGCATGCCAAAGCTATTCGAAGATGTCAGGTCCCTGTCCCATAGAAATCCTGGCAGAAGACTCGCGTTGAAAGAGGACTTTTTATCGGATTGTGTGAAGGATTGGTTGATAGTGTTTGGGGCGCCTACACTTAGACAGCCCAAAGACAAGGATACCGCTTTGCCGCCGGGATATTTCATCTTTGCGTCGTCTAAAATGGCAACGCTAGCATTGGCGATGTTGATACCGTCGATAGTAATATCATCTCGGTACCGAATTCCAGCCTCACCCTCGAGTTCAACACCCTGCATAAAACCATCCAGCTCAACCGAACGATCTCTCTCATTTTGATATCCCATATTCTTATTAATAGTCCCTGCTTTCGAAGCAAAGCACGTCTCGCCTTCACAGTAATCATCACTTATAACCCACGTTTCCAAAGTTGCCCCAGGAAAAAGCGCTATGGATTGATCTTTTGTTCCAATTTGAACTTTTACAGCGTTCCATGGTCCATCTGGTCCGTAACTTTGATCAGACCATTCGACTTCTCTTGGAGTGCGGATAGCGTTTGCGAGAGCGAAAAGAGAGAAGAGTGTCCAGACCATGGTCTATGACTCGCGGCGTAGCGACAGAATTGTGTTGGTTCGAGAAGTAAGACAGAAAGGAAATGAGAGATGGTTCGAACCAACACGATGAGAACATACAAGAAAGAGAGAGGCTCAGAAAAACAAGAACAAAGGAGAATGGGCGGCTGGAGCTGGAAGTGGAAAATGGGTGCAGCAGGCAGAGCCAACATCGTGGCCGGGTTATGGAAGGCTATCCGATGGATGAGCCTATCGCGGGCTGGTGAACTTGCATTGGCCCACTTGGTAATGTATGAGAACGACCAACATGCATAAAAGCGCTGTAGGCTTATGATCCCGTATGCCCTAGTGACTTTGTATGCGGGAGATTATCCCGCAATAACTACCGGGGTATCCGAGTCCTTGCTGCAGATATATATATCCTGGAAAAAGATGTTTGCTTAGACAAGGTTGTCTCACAAGGGTAAATTTGGAATAGCTATTCTTTAGGGATACACGGAGCCTCTAAGACATTGCATTGGCATTTTCATTTCTTACTCAAGTCTCCAGTAAGAGCGGATTAGATAAAACAAGCCCAGCTCACCAAGCTAGATGCCGACTCGGTGCAGACAGCACAAGCTAAGAGCCGAAGAACGCGGCTGATCCCGCCCCTTCACAGCACATCCTGAAACAGCCCCCAAGAACCATAACTAAACTCTTTTCCGGCCGGCGCCTAATCTTCCACAGTGATAGGGCGCTGGGCCGCAGTGGGTCAACAGTGGATTAGCGAACATTTGCATTTGATGATTTGATGAACCACCAGATGATTGGTCAACCTGGCGCTTATCGGTTCTTTGTCCCGCTGCAAGCGCTAATGGTTAACGACAGTCACGACGTCAAGGATGTGAACATGGATGGTGTTTGTGATTGACAGGCTCCTTTGTACTTTTGCGCTGTTGCTAAGCTCTTTCATGTGCTAAGGTGTTTTAATTTAGAAATGTCGTAATTTAATTGAAACCTTGTTCTTTGACAAAAGCGCTTTGTAAGATATGTGCCTGTGTATCCTTCTCCTTAAAATGAAAGGGCTGAACTCATTATACCAACCCAGGATTTCCATCCTCTGAACAATGACATTCGTTTAGCCCAACTTCATCAGATCTCACTATTTCCTCTGCATCATCAATCATGGCATCCAAACGCACTCGTTTGACGCCCATCGCTGTTCTCACTATCTTTTTATTCTTTTTCCTTTTCAACCAATACCAAGATTTCACAGCTTCATCAGCTTTTCAATCATCACGCCAAACTTCATTTGGTGTCGACTGGTCACGCTTCGCATATACACAATATGTCACTAATAGCGAATATCTTTGCAATTCAGTCATGTTCTTCGAAGCTCTACAGCGTCTTGGCAGTCAAGCTGATCGAGTCATGATGGTCCCCGCCAGCATGCTTGAGCCAGATATGGAAAACTCAAGCGACGGCTATTTGATTAATAAGGCGCGGGATGAGTATAGTGTTAAGATTGTACCAATTACTATCCAGACCCATTGGGCTGGCGAGGGTAAGAAACACTTTCGTTATCTCGACCACAGTGCTAACAATCTTAGCAACTTGGGCGGACTCGTACACGAAGCTTCTAGCGTTCAACCAAACGCAGTATGACCGCGTACTGTCCATAGACTCGGATTCTGTACTTCTGCAACATATGGATGAGCTGTTCTTCCTACCCGCTGCACCCGTGGCTATGCCTCGAGCATACTGGATATCCCCCGAGAAGATCCTCTCATCCCATCTCATGCTCATCCAACCTTCCGAGACGGAACTGTTCCGCATTATGGACAGATTTGAATCAGTAAAGCCTGGCGAATACGACATGGAAATCATCAACCAGCTTTATGGTGATAGCGCTCTGGTCTTTCCCCACCGTCGCTATGCCCTCCTCAGCGGAGAGTTTCGCAATGACAAGCATCCTCACTACCTTGGTTCAGAGCTTGAAACTTGGGATCCTGCTGCGACGTATAGCGAAGCTAAGCTTATTCACTTTTCGGACTGGCCACTGCCAAAACCTTGGAAGCCTATGCCTGAGGACGACAGACTTGCGGCACAACCAAATTGTACACAAACGACAAACGGGGAAGAGGATTGTACAGCAAGGGTAATTTGGAACTCACTGTATACTGACTTTAGAGCGAGGAGAAAGGTTTGCACAACTCCATTACCTATCGATTTTCCACGTGCTGATTCCTGTTATCTAGGAAATATGTGATTATCTTGTAGAGACAAGAGAGTCTGCCGCAAGTGGAACTATGTTGATCTAGGACTCGGTGGTGTGGCGGAACCTGCCAGGGCAGACATATGGATTGCATTTAGGTTGGTTTGATAGCAAGGGCATTGTACATGACGAGTCCGAGCAAAGCAACACAGAGTTCAAAGGTGATTGCTTAGATAATGGTAAACAGAACATAGAGCCCAGCTGAACGCTGTTGAATGTCCGCCTTGTATCACAGAATGTTTACACGGAACTTAGGATAAGTTGTTCAATGTACTTCGAACATTTACTGAAAGATATCAGGACAGACAGACATAGAAACGGACTGTGGCATGCTGTTCAAGGATAATACGAATTTACAGGCGTAATCTCAGGAACATCAAGTACATAAGAAAATATCAAAGATCTCTGTTGAAAAAGTGAACAGGCCAGGGCCATATTTCTCGCTGCTGAATACCATATATAATCGCTTTCACCTTTCCTAAATTGAAAAACATCACCGAGCCATCAATCAACAGTCTAAGATCCCCATAAACACCATCAATACGTTAATATCTCTGAATATTCCATCATGAATACCTTTGAAACCATCTTCCAGAAACTGAAGGAGCTTCCTGTTCCTCTGTTTCCTACGAAAAAGTACATCAGAGGCACCCAATCTGATGTGGTTGAAAATGTCGTGGAGGAAAACTTTTGGCCTAACGTCCGGAAGTTCATCATCACCGAAGATCCGATCGCCAGAATCATGAAAGTAATCTGTTCCGTGTGCTGGGACGAACTAGACGTAACATGTATTACCTTCCCCGATGACAAACCCCAAGTTGGTCTTGTTGCATCTTGCGGCCACATCATGTGTCGTGCATGCTGGCCACGCGAGACTTTCGACTCATTGCACACTATCTATGAAGGCTGTTGTAAGTGCCCGGTTTGCGAGACTCTACTAGAATGTTTCATTTGCCGTAAGCCTTGCAATAAGGTGAAGATTCCCACGCATGGTGGTGAGGCTGCTATGGAGTCTTTTCCCAAGACAGCCCCGGAGTGTGAACGAGAGTACCGTCCTTACTGTAAAGACTGTGCTAAGCCGTATCATCAGAAAGGAGATGGTTTTTGGTTTGAGAATACTGAGGAGCAGGAGAGCATGAATGGGTCTTCAGCCAGAAGTAAAAGTATTTGAGATAGGTTGAGAAGCTTTGATGGGTTTGCAGCTAGCAATGTTGCCTGCTTTCGAAAGTTTTTGTTTTTTTAGGTATAGGGTTTGGAGTTTTGCCAGATTGAACAACTGAATTTTGAGCATAGCATCGCAGGAATCAAAGCAAAGCTAGGTTTTGTTTCAAGAAATATAAAACTGATTTAAATGTCTGCTAAATTTATACTCATTGTACATAAATATTTACGTCCTCAATTGAGGAGAGCAAGGAGCTATCGCTCATCGGAGGCTACCGAGGTTGGTTAATGAGCTAGCATGCAAAGACGGAGTGCTTGGAGGCTATGCTGAATTGCAAGTTTCAATGCGGCTGAGCACCCAACTTCCTGTAGCAACTCCGTGGCTCGTTGATCAGCCTTCCTCAGCCGCTGTAGCGTTTAAATACCCAGTACTGACCGTCATTACTAACGTCTAAAGACCAAACTTGAAATGATGAAGAGTTTCAGACAAGTATGGCGCAAACCACAAACCATGGATAGACCTAACCTAACGAACAATACGGTCGCGGCCCCGGCGACTACAGGCAACGGCTTCCCAGACGGAATTAAGATCTGGCACAGTCCTGAAGACGCCGGACTTGATATCTGCTTTATACATGGTCTGTCAGGCAATCGCGACAAAACTTGGACTGCTCCAGGTCAGCCCAACCCGTGGCCTGCCGAATTGCTCCCTACACGACTAGCCAAAGCTCGTATCCTCACCTACGGCTACGACGCGTACGTGGTGAAGAGATCTGTCTCTTCAACAAACCGGCTGATTGACTACGCCAATAATCTACTGCACGATCTGGCCGCTGAACGCGCATCTTCTGGTACAGTCAATCGACCTCTTATCTTCGTTGTGCACAGCTTTGGCGGTATTGTTTGCAAAACAGCCTTGATTATCTCACACCAGAGACCCGAGTCACACCTTGGGCAGATTTCCAATTGTACCAGGGGAATTGCCTTCCTTGGAACTCCGCACCGTGGGTCGTGGGCTGCTGATTGGGCAAAGATACCAGCTTGGGCATTGGGTCAAGTCAAATCGACAAATCGCAGCATATTGGATGTTTTACAGATAAACAACCAATATCTCGAATTTATTCAAACCTCCTTCCTATTAATGCTACGCGATCTTGACAAAAAGGGTCGGCCTCTGCAAATCACCTGTTTCTTCGAAGAATTGCCCATGCCCGGAATCGGGACCATCGTCAGCAAGGAATCGGCCTCTCTCGAGGGCTACAGTGTCTTCAGCATCCACGCCAACCACTCTGACATGGCCAAGTTTGGCTCAGCCGAGGAAAGCGGGTTCAAGAGACTGCTGGGGGAGTTGGTGCGGTGGGATGCCATGCTTGGAAAGGGAGACTCAACTATCAGCCCTGTGGCTGAGCTAGAGTCAAATGGAAAAACGCCAAATGCAACGTCATCCCTCCAAACGACCACTGGGCACATTTTCAATGCCAGTGGAGGGACACAGCACAACAACACAGGGGCAGGGAATCAGTTCTTTGGAAATTTCGATGGGCCAGTCTATTTTGGTTTGCCGCCTAACAAGTAGTTGGTTTTATAGAGACATTTCAAGATTCCTTTTGTCGGCTCGCCATTGCTCAAGAGGCCGTGCCACACCGCAGGAGGGGGGTTGAAAGAGGCTTTGGTAATCCAATCAGGAAACAGCACTAAGGCAGGCTATCGATGCTATCACGGCAAGGCGTCCTGCGATGACAACGCATAAAGTGCTTGCCTCTAAAGCGGGCAAAGGCTTTCTAGGACTCAAGCTGAATGGCCTTAACGTTAAACGAACATCAACACAAAAACAGGTTTTGTTTGATGCTCATAGCTGTTAAGGTCTCAAACGCTGTGGCCCATCGAGATCTACCGATGCAATGTTGTACCTACTGTAATTGGTAATTAGAATAAACGCACCTCATCCCTCGCCCAGGGGCAGTTCCATAACACGCAAGAAATACTTTTTGGAAAGCATACCGACTGCCTAAAGCCGCACCCGTTCGCTAGCTATTAACCGCGCCTCTCTGCATTTGACGTGATATGTCACGCAAGGTATGGCGAGTACAGCCTTGATTGAAAATGACCCCTCCCCGGAAAAGTTCAGACGTGATGTTATCGCACGGAAACCAGTGAAAAGCAGTACCACGCTAGCAACACAAACGACGGCAACAGTCGAAGCATGCAAGGTTGATGACAGCCCAAGAAATGATACGCCTGTATCGACTTGGGGGAACAGCTTCAACGTTTCGGGAGGAATTCAGTACAATAACACAGGAAACGGCAATCAGTTCCTCGGTAGTCAGTTCCATGGCGATGTTAACTTTGTTGGGGGAAATGGAGATAACGGTAAGTCAGCGAGTCTTTGCGTCACAAACTTACAATCTCATGTCTGACCCACCCTCCGATAAAGAGGATCAGTCCCGAGAGAGAAGGAAAGCCCAGGTTCTAAATCGACTCGCAACTTCCCCGTATCGTGGCCGGAAGGATCGGAATCCTTCTGCTGTCCAAGGAACCTGCGAATGGTTCATTTCTCATCACCTCTACCATGAATGGCTCGGCCAAGATGCTTCAAAGATCCTTTGGGTCTCGGCTGATCCTGGATGCGGCAAATCAGTACTCGTCAAACATCTTGTCGACTCCGTCATCCAGACTACTGCTTCCAGGAAGGTCTGCTACTTCTTCTTCAAAGATGATTTCGCCGATCAAAAAAGTCTTCTCAGCGCCTTGAGCAGCATCCTCCAACAACTCTTCATGCTGGATACTGCGCTACTATCGGACGAGATCCTTTTACAGTTTGATGCGAACGCCCAATGGCTAATTGCGTCCTTTGTCGAATTATGGCAGATTCTCATCAAGGTTGCCGATAGCAATCCCGCTACAGAAATCATCTGTCTCATCGATGCAGTCGACGAATGCAACGAGCACGAGAGGAGTCAGCTCTTTAGGGCGCTCTGTGAACTTTGTGGTTCCAAGAAAACCCTGAACCTGAAGTTTCTCATCACTAGTCGACCTTATCGAGAGATCGGAATGGGTTTCAAGCCACTGGAGAATTTGAACTTGCCAGTCATTCACCTCAGTGGCGAGAGCGATTCCGAGATGAGAAAGATTGTCAGAGAAATAGACATTGCCATAAGGGAAAGAGTCAAGACAATCGCCGTCCAACAGACACTCACAGATGATGAGCAACTCATATTAATCACGAAGCTTTTGTCTGTCCGAAATCGAACATATCTCTGGGCACACCTTACATTGGATTTGATCGAGCGCCAGCTTGACATAAGCAAAGAGAAAATTATCAGTATCACATCGCATCTTCCCCAAAACGTCAACGAAGCCTACGAACGGATACTGTGCAGAACCTTTAGCAAGGACAAGGCAACTAGGATGTTGCACATCATCATCGCTGCAGATCGCCCTCTTACGGTGGGGGAAATGGTCGTTGCCCTCGAGCTTCAGCAGCATCACCAGTCTATTGACGATATCGAAATAGAGCCCGAAGACCGCTTCCGAGAAAAGATTAGAGACATCTGCGGATTGGTCACTGTTAGCGAATCACGAATCTTCCTTCTTCATCAGACTGTTAAGGAGTTTCTGATTTCTATAGACCACGTCGAGCCCACCAGTCTAGGCTGGAAGCAATCAGTACTCATGCAGGATCCTAATTTGACCCTGACTTATGTCTGCGTCTGGTGTCTTCAATTGGACCACTGGACGAAAGGGCGGCATAGTGCCAATTCAAGTCTCTCAAAACACACCTCGAGAAACTTATTTGTCAACTATGCTGCTAAACACTGGGCCAATCATTTCAATCGGTTGTCAGTTCATGATCAGAAAAAGTTGACAAGCTTAGCACTAGAGATCTGTAATGCTCGAGGTTCTTGCTTCTTGGCTTGGTTCCCGGTTTATTGGAGAAGTCGACATGCCCGGTTAGTTTCAGGGTTTACCACTTTGATGGTAGCATCTTATTTTGGACTTGAAGCAATTGTGAGGCGCATCCTCAAAACTCAATATTCTCAGTTAAATAGAAAAGACGAGACTTACCACAGATCGGCGTTATCTTGGGCAGCGGGTAACGGCCATGATGGTGTTGTGGAGCATCTAATCCGTGGCCTATCGATTGGCCCTCGGTCCTTGAAAATAATCCTTCGACAAGGGGCTAATGTCAACCAGTTCGATTCAGATAATCGAACGCCTCTTACTTACGCTATCTGGAATGGACACCTATCGGTCGTTCGCCGCTTGGTCGAAGCTGGCGCGTGGGTTGACGTCCCCGATGTCTTGGGAGGAACACCCACCTCGTACGCAGTAACGAGCGGAAATTTGAAAATCAAAAATCTGGTTGTGCGGGGAAATGTTCCCAGTAACGCAAATCGTACGGAAGGGGAAAAGCTTCTGCTGTCCGCAGTTAAGTATGGTCACATTCACGTGGTGAGAGTGCTTCTGGAAGCTAAAAAGACAAACCTCAATCTCAAGGATGATGAGGGCTGGACTCCACTAATGTGGGCTATCAACTACAGACATAGCAGAATCATCAAGCTGCTCCTGGAACATGGAGCACATGTTGATATCAGAGACAGGAATGGGATGACATCCTTTTACTTCGCTACCCGATACGGCCAATTCGAAGTAGCAAAGCTGATACTACAAACCGGGCGCGCTGACATTAACATGCCAGATTCAACTGGGCTGACCCCTCTGCACCAAGTTGCTCGTTGGAAACAGAATGACATTGCTCAGTTGATATTGAGGACAGGGGTGGCCGACGTCACTGCCAGAGTACATGGGAAAGACCCTGCATACTCTTGGGTTATTCGATACAACTCCTGCTCGACTCTTAAATTGATGTTTGATCTTTATGATGAAAACGTTAGCGTTCAAGATTGTACAATGGCCATTCTTGAGACTGACAACGAGTGGCTCGACAAGGATTGGGCCGACAAATTGAAAGTTCTGCTGGAAATAAGGAAGATAGATGTTAATCTGGCTGACAGCAAGGGCGAAACAATCTTGCATAGAGCTGTCACAAAGAGATCATACCAAATGATCAAGGAGATTCTCGCAACAGAAAAAGCACCTACCAACAGCCGAGATAGCCGTGGGCTTACGCCTCTAGCCCTGGCTTGTTTGACCCTAGACTCGGACGCAGTGTCTCCGTTCTTGGAAACCGATTCAGTGGACGTGAACATAGCCGATATCAAAGGGTATACACCACTTCATCACGCCGTTCAGGAGCATTCAGCTCCTATCACCGGCGCTCTAATCGCAACGGGGAAGACGAGAGTTGACATGAAGAATAAAGACGGCCGCACACCACTTTGTCTAGCGTGTTTGAGCGGCAACACAACCTTAGCAAAATATTTCCTTCATCATTCGCAGGTTAACATCAACACCCAGGACAAATACGGGCGCACACCTGCTCATAACTGTGTTTTGATGGGAAATGTGAATATGTTGCGCCTGATTCTGCATACAGGTAAAGTGAACCTCAATGTGGTGGATAACCTCTTGTATACACCACTACTGCTCGCTGCTCACCGGAGTCAATGGGAAATCGTAGTCCTGCTGCTGAAATACGAACAGGCCATTAACATGAAGGATCGGCAAGGAAGGACAGCACTGGTCTGGACTATCATACACCGACAAACAGATATAGTCAGGTTGTTGATATCTCTAGAGCAGACTGACTTCAATCTGAGGGATGAGGAAGGACTTGCACCATTGTCTCATGCAGCTCAACGAGGGAATGAAGAAATGGTTCGGATGTTGCTTGAGAGACCAGGTATCGACGTTGACGCCAAAGATGATAATGGGATGACTGCCCTGGGACATGCTGCAAAGAATGGGCACTTGGGGGTTATTGATTTGCTTCTGGACAAAGGGAATGCAAACACGTGGATCAGGGATGAGAGAGGGATGACTCCATTGGCTCTGGCTTCAGCAGAGGGTCACTTCAAGGTAGCCCAGAGGATCTTGTTTTAGACTTTCTATCTATTCCACGAAGGTGAAGACCTGCCATTAGATATAACCTAAGGGTGACACAGAACCACTGGGCTCCTAATAAAATCAATCATCACCACACTCAGGATGAGGTTCAGGATTGACTGTGGGTGTGAGCAGACAAGAACGGTTATCACGCAAGTTCAATCAAGTATGGTAAGTCGCTTTAACATTGTATATACCGGAATTAATTTATCAATAGTCCAAAAAAGTCTAAACGGGTGATTCTGCGTGTTACTGGGACGCCGAGCTTTTATAATACCGATCAAGCTGATAGAGCCCAAGACTAACAGAGGTACACTTATCTCATTGCTACTTGGATCTTCCAGTATATTATCATAATCACCGTCTGAATGGTCAAGAAAAGATTCTTGCACATTGAGGCAAGTCGATTCCTAAATGGATTCCATTAGCTTCTTTTCTCATCCTCCCAACAGCACACGAAATCGAAGAAAACACCTACATTGGAGATGGCCAAAGATCTTCTGCTAAGGGTTCCATCATCAGCGAGGCAATAAAGTTGGCGAAGCCTGGACTCTTGTTCAACATGTTGAAGAAGTCATCCCTCTCATTGACAACCCTGGGCTCCATGGAGTGGATTCGCTTCTTCCCATCTATGGCTTGCTTTTGTACACGCTGAACAAAGTCTTTACGTCGGACCGTGGCGTATTGACCCAGAAGTTTTGGCCATTTTGTAGATACCTTGTTCTCGGGTAGAAGAACCAGAGGAACAACGCGGGCGAGAACAGCAGCATCTACGAGACCGGTTGTCAGACCAAGGGCCGTGAGAGGATTATTTAACTGTTCAACGTGTGAGTTATGCTTCTTAGCGACGCGGAGGGAGAGAACCAAAGAAAAGACATCGGCTTACGTGAGCAGCATCACCACACAGCACAACTCTCCCCGACCGAAACGATTGTGCCACTTTTTCGTGAGCCCAGTAGGGGCTAATTGCGTCAATCCTGTAGTCTAGTGGCCTCGGACCAGGCAACAGTCGCTCTAACTTTGCGATGACACACGGCTCGACGTCGGCTGGCTCCAGGTCTGGCGGGATACCCAGAGCAATACGCCACAGACCCTCCTTCTCATTGCTGGCCCTCACAATAACGGCCCAGTCCTCAGAGTCGATGATGTGGTTTGCTGCAGGATAGCCATGTTTGGAAAAGTCGAAGTAAATGTTCACGGCGACGAACTGCCAATCTTTCCACGTGAAGCCCTCAAATGGGATCTCCAGGGCCTTACGAACGGCAGAGTTGGCGCCATCGCAGGCGACCATGAATGGCGCAGAAAGTGACTCTACACCCGCCGCGCTCTCTACCTGGACGTGAACGAGGGTGTCATCCTCTTCGTGATACACGTATCGCGTATTATACCGGATAGAGAAGCTAGGGCACTGCACTGCGCTTTTAAGCATGATAGAGCTGAGCTTTGCCTGGCCAAGTTGGACGCCATAGTCCACTGACCCTTTAGAAGATTTCCCTGGCGGGATCCTTGCCAGTACTCTATTGGTACCGTTGTACGGCGTTCGGAAACACAAGCCCTCGGTATTTTTAAATCCGGCAGCTGTTACCTCGTCCAATATGCCGACTTTGGCGAATTCGTTGAGAACAATGGGAAAGTTCCTCCTTTGCATCAGTACCAAGAAACTGAAAGAAAAGAAGACGAGGCAAATTCTTACATGAGTGCCCGGGGACTTTGGGGGATTTTAGCCGCCTTTTCGATAATGAGAACTTTTATGCCTTTGAGTGCTAGACTTAGACCGAGAAACAGACCAACGGGACCTCCCCCTACTATGATCAAGTCGTGCGTTTTTGTCATCTTGGTCTCTAATAGGATGTTTGTGCCAGTAACTTGAAGGAGTGTCGGACTGATTGATCAATTCAGCGAAGCACATATGAATAACTGCGTAGGGAGACCGCTATAAGGCTCATCATTTGTGCCCGCAAGATTGATGGTCTAAGTGATAACTCAATATGGATAGTCAGAAATAAGGGAAGGGATCCTGGTTATCATGCAGCTGGTGTCAGCACCAAGCCTCCCATATATGTGGGTTACCGAAGTATGGTACAGAATCACAGAATCCCTGCCAGCATTCGTGATAACCAGGGTCACTTAGAGGATGCAATTTCAGCTAGACAAACAAAGAAATCAAAAGGTTTAATGCTCAAAGAACAACAATAACCGCTATCGTTCAAATGGTTACTAGGTTCTCTCGGCCGGATTGAGCTCTCAGCCATAAGTCTCAGCGGCAAATAACACTTCAAGCTTACAACTTAGACAAATGGTTACTTAGTCTCCAGATCCGACGTATGCCAGAATCATTCAATGCTCAAGGGGTAACACATAGCCCTCAGTCAGAAACTTCATTTCGAAATGCAAGAGTATAATCTGGATCTTACGTATATTATGATCCTGACCAGCCATTACGAGCTGCTGGAAGCTCAAATCAGTGACAAGCATTAAAACTTTACATTTGATAATAACCGCGCCTTTCTAGATTCGGTGCGGTACCGCGAGGATAGTGAATGTTTCGATTTGAACACAGGGGCAATTCTGAAACTGGAATGACTGTGCACCGATGATATGGTTCGTGGTTCTGCTGTACCACCGTCGTGGAACGTAACATGCCTAGTTGAGCATGAGAAACTGGTCAAGTATCAGCTACAATCAGGATCTTCTATCGATAAAACTTGTGGATGGGTTTACCTGACATACACGGAGGACGATATAGGGGCATCTCTTCAGCTTTCGAACCGAGTGGACATGCGCAAGCCGGAGCTGGATGGGGGCGAGGATATCTTATAACGCGCGGATAAATCGACGGATCACTATTGTGGTGGTGCTGAATGCTAGGGACCGTTTGATCTAGTCGATCAAGGTGCAAGGAGCAAGAATGACTTCGGCTTGACTCTGGGGCTCTTTCGTTGCCACAGATGAACATATTCTGCCATGGCATGTCGTAGGTGGAGTTGTGATGAAAGGGCGTTGGGCTGGTGACACATCCGCAGCCCATGTCATGAGGCGAATGTTTGCCTGGAAATGGGGCAAGGGGTATAGAACTGCGTTGAGTCCCGTCATACCAAAGACCATGAGAATATGGCGCGATGTCTGGAGAGAAGCTCAGAGGGGTTGAAAGGATGTCGGACGACTCGTCTTCTGGCGTTGGCACCATGGATGTATCGACCGGTAGCGCCAGCGGTGATGATGAAGATGATGGCTCCGACGAGATTTCGAACGGAATGAATGGTGGTGAAGTTGGCTGCGGTGTTGGCATGTAGGTATCTTGCTTTCCTCGGAGCATGTTCTCAATAACTTGCTGCTCGAGTGAAGAAACATAAGCCTTTTGCTTCTTCCCTATATGTGTCGTGAGTGTCCGTTATGCGGACTGGAAGAGGGTCTACTTACTGTGGTTTCGTTGAGCTTGGCGGTTCTGCAATCGTCTTCGCTCTGTTCTATCCGGTGCATCAGTGGCATTGCTGTCGCCTGTGGGCTGCCATCCTGAGAGATCCGGGAGATTGTCGATGCCGGTTTGTTCTAGAGCATTCATTTCCACTAATACGATGTGGGCACGAAAGCTGGTACTTGGTTGTGGCTGCGGCCGAAGTGTAATCTTGGTGTAGCGCAGCCTCAAGTTGGGTAGGCCGCATCGATGGGGTGGCAGGGAAATAAATGGACGATCATGGTGGAATATCATATCAGACATTGCTGCTGACCAATGCAGCATAACATAGTCTGTTTCGCTCTACGCCATGCCTGCTTCTATTAGCGGTGTCGGGTAACTTTCGGACCGACCTTGGAACTCAGTTGATCCTTCAATTCCAAAACGGCTCATACCTATATCAGGCACCCCAACCAGCGTAAACGGCACCCTAACTAAACCGCGCCACTAACTGTAACGCCAGCAATTCGGGGACAGTAATTTCAGAACATGGCATCCGTCTTGACCGCGTTGACCAGGCTGGGCAGCTACCATCTCATAGCTTGGGGTTCGCTCCTAGGGACGCAATTGTATCAGGTGAGACAGTCTTGGGATTCGAGAGTCCGGGTACTAATTACTTACTGTGCTTGGCAGACCTTTGCCATGACCAAACTATGCTATTTGTACCTTCCGCGCGCACAATTCATGACTCTTCAAAGAAAGGTATTTCCCGTATATTTCGCTATCGAAACGGCATTGGCCGTTGTCACAGCCGTTACATATCCGGGAGGCTCGATAATAGCACTGTCGTCCAACTCTGTCGATTCTGCTCTACTAGGCATTGCTCTGGGCACGTCGACGTTGAATTTACTTGTCTATGGGCCAAAGACGTCGGTAGCGCTGACGATTAGAAACCACGCAGGTAACCAAGGCCAAGAGAAGCCGTGTTGCACAAGGCGAAGCTGACACGTGCGTCTCGTAGAAACCCGAAGCGGTCTCCGGCTCGGCTCCAGTAGCGAAATGCCGAACAATAGCATCTCGGCGAACATGTATCAAGCAAAACGCCAGTTCTCGACCAATCATGCAATGAGCATACACCTAAATCTGATTGGTATCTTTAGCACGATTCTGTACGGTGTGTTGTTCAGCTCGAGATTGTCCTAGGGGCCGATAGGGTGCATTTGGCGGCAGTAAGGTGGACTAAGACAAGCCTCGGTCACGCATTCATGCATGAACTGTCAGCGTAGATAACTAAGGTATAGCTCGATGTCGATGACTGAGACTAGGTACCTACGAGGCATAAGCGCAACTGTTTGATTTTAGAACGAAACATATATAGCGGATTTACTCTCTCGGATAGCCAGATATCGAAAAAGTCCATTGCCCAATACAGAAATTCTTTCAGAACCCTGTCTATACCATGTCAAGCATGAAGGCCCTTGCTGTCACAAACATCGGCGAGCCAGCTAGGCTGATCGAGAGACCCATTCCTACACCAGGCGCTGGGGAGGTTTTGCTCAAGGTTGTTGCTGTTGGGTGTAAGTGCTCTGATTGGATCTCACCTAAGCCTTCCATGCTCACCATTCTATGGTGAATCCTTACGATTTTCGAGCCAGAGACCTCGGACTTTTCGTTGACCCAAATTCACTGCCCATGGTTCTCGGGAACGACATCGCAGGAATCGTGACCGCTCTCGGCCCAGAGAACAACGAGGTCGATCTGCAGATTGGCGATCTCGTCTTTGGGCAAAGCAACCACGGAAAGCGAACTGCTGACCAGTCCGGTCTCCAGGAGTTCTGCCTCCTCGACACTTGCGCCATGGCCAAGATCCCACCAGGCTTCACTGCCGATCATGGGGCTAGTCTTCCTAGCAATGCCGTGGCCGCTTTTTGGGCCCTTTTTAACCAATCAGCTCTTGGTCTGCCACCTCCACTTGAAACCTGCTCAGGCCAGGATCAGGATCAGCATATTGAGGAAAATTGCATCGTTGTCATAGGAGGCGGGTCCAATTGCGGCCGCTACGCAGTTCAGTTTGCCGCTTTGTCTGGTTTGTTCTCCACCATTGTCGCTGTCGCAGGGCCGAGGCATGCCACGGCCCTTCATTCCTTTGGGGCTACCCATGTTGTTGACCGGCATGGCGACGAGTCCGAAGTGATAAGCAGAGTACGAGATATTGTTGGTGATGATTGTGTGTATGTTATAGATGCCGTCAATCACGAGCATACGCTGGGCGTCGCGTGTCTGTCAAACTCGAGACAGGGAAGAATGGCGACACTATGCCCAGGCGAGGCGGATTTGGCAAGAATTCACGACAAGGCGGCGGGCTTTACAAAGGTCTTCTCGTCGGGCTCGTCCCAGAATTCGCCGGGTCTGGCCAAGGGATTCTGGGCTGCTCTGCCAGGTTGGCTCAAGAGTGGGCAGGTCAAGGCTCTAGAGTGGGATGTGATTAACGGGCTCGATGAAGTGGCAATCAATGCAGTTTGGGATCTGTACAGAGATGGCAAAGCTCCAAAGAACCAGGTACACGTTCATATCTAGAGCTGGTTGTTTGAGTTGAACTTGGTGGGTAGCATAGACTTGGAACCATGCAAATTGATAAAGCATATACACGAATCCAGAACACAATTCGCTGTTCCAATGCATTTGCTAAACACGGCGAGGAACAGACGAGGCTGGAGCGGCTGAAGTGGTGGAAACGCGAGACCTGCAGGATGGAAAACCTGGAGAACCACAAAGAGCATTGGAAAGAAAACAAGCTTACACGACATGGCACAATATATTTGTAATGCCCGCAGCCTGTAAGCTTCACTATTCTAGCTACACCTTCTCACTGTATTAACTATATACGGCGTAGCTTCTACCTCTTCTCGCTCCATTAACCGAATGCAGAGTAGCTTCTCCTGCTTTCTATGCTAATTCCTCCAAAATAACCTTGCATCTTAACGGGGCCAGAATTCCACCCTTCAGGATCACAGAATCAGCAATACTCAGGTCTGACGATGGTAAAAAAAACTTACCGGGGTAAGTTTGAGCCGATACCCAGGGTCCACTGTCCATCTCGTCCTCCTCAGCAACTCAAAGAGCGCAACCTTGGTCTCCAATATAGCAAAACTGCTTCCGAGGCACTTTCGCGTATGAGCATTGAAAGGAATATAGTTTCCTTTCACCTGCTCTCTCCTGTACTTTGACTTTATGTCCTTGATGTTGGCACCCCATCTTTCAGGAGCAAAGACCATGGCATCACTACCCCAGACTCCGCGGTCTGTTTGCACTCCATACGCATTCCATCCCACCCACGTCCGACCTGGAATCTCGATCTTGTCAGCGAGGACCGCAGGCCCGACGGTCACTCGATTGATGAGCTGAGAAACGGGCGGGTACAAGCGCAGCATCTCGTAGACGACAGCCGTCAAGTAGGGCATATCGTTGAGCATCTCTGCAGTCGGGGAAACGACATTCTTGGAGAGGACCTCCTCTCGGAGCCTGGTCTGCACGGCCTGATTGGTGCCGAGCTCCCAAAAGACAGAATTGAGAAGTTGCTGCACATTCTCGTGGGCCGTCAGAAAGACAATTTTGAGATTGGCCCGGAACTGGGCATCGTTTATGACACCTTGGTCAAGTGCGCGTTCGAGCATGTGAATAACGAGCTCGCCAGACTGATCGCCCGGCTTTTCGCCTGAAGACTTCACCTTGCGCGGACGGTTCTGGACCAGTTCAACTAGGAGATCCTCGAATTCTTTCATTATGCCGTATGCGTATTTGCGAGATCTGAAGAGCCATGCAAACTTGTCGAGCAGTGGAAAATTGAAGAACAGAGGGTGGAATAAGACCCGCTTGATAATGGATTGAAGTTCTTCGATCCGCTGTCCAGAATTCTCTAGGCAGCCGAAGTCGATGTCAAGGAAGCTCTCCCCCATGATTGCGATGGCCCATCGCTGTATCAAGTCATTGACCAAGATGCCGCGGTTGCCAGATCCAGATCTTGCTTGCTTTTGGAGAAGCATCGAAACAAATGTCTTGGTTTTGTCGACTATAGGCTCTATTTTGAAGTCTTGCTTCTGGATTCCAGGTTTCATGACCGACGTATATAGCTTCCAGTCCGCGCCGTGTGAGTTGATGATGTTGTCTCCCACTAATGTAGCTATCACGCTCCAGGGGATCTTTTTCTGACTCCCTGCTTTTGCGTATACATCCTCGTTGCGGAACATGTCGGTAAGGAATTCCGGACGAGCAACGAGAACGTTCCATCGGCCTGCAAAGAAGATTTTTACAGCACCATGCCTCTCCAGAGGCTCCCGTAGCCATTTCTCGTAAATTTCGTCTTGGCCCATACTGCTCCAAAGACCCAGGAGGGATACATAGATTGGCACGGAGGGAATGTTTCTAGGCATGTCGGATGGAATTCTAACCAGACCCCATAGCAGCATGGCTGCGCATAGGAGGGCGATAACGTAAAGCATATTTTCGATGTGCGTGATAATGTCTGATATGGTTATGCTATGCTGTGAATAGGGAAAGATCAAATACGTTGGTCGTGCGTATATCTACTAGGAACTAGGCTGGATAAATTTCATTAATGAGCAATAATACCTCCTGGACAGGTCGAGATGATGACCAAGAATATGGTCTTTTGTCTGCTAAACAAGTCGAGATAGCCTCTTGCACCAAGCGGTTGTCATTTCACCGGTTAAGCCCCTCGAAGTTCTCTTTGCTGATTTAAGCTCTCAGCGCTGCACTAGTTATGCAGAAGATGTAAGCTCCACGTTTACACTGGATCCAGGCTAGACTCTTATTGATCGCCTAATAAACAGACTTTCCCCGATGTCTAAAGCCTATCATGTAACAGGCCACTGCTGACTTTTGTAGACATGAAGAAAAAAAATGACAGGTCCTCGATAGCCTCGCTCAACGGATTTTTAGGAGCACGCCGTCGCCCGCGCAACTAGGCCGGTGGCTAAGCTAATGACTTAGCCTGCAGCAACTGTAACGTGCTGGCCCTTGTGCTGACCTCACCCGCATATTTCGGTGTCCCCGATTCTGACATCCCGGATCACAGTTTCACCAAGGGACAGGCAGAGGGTTCGATTGAGCCGGATGTGAGGTTAGTGGAACTGTGAGTGAGTTTGAGTGAGTTTAAATCGACTTGATTCACGCATTTCCAATGACTTCAACTTAGTCTAGCTAACCCATCCCCTGTGGGTAATTGGAAACAAATGAACCAAAATCAATGATCAGTCCAGACATATTTCTCGCCCATTCTAGAACAGTATTGACGCATCTACTGGGAGATCTCAACCGCCATGGAAAAACAACACGGAAATGGAAAGCTGAATCGGTTTCCTGTCGTTACCGATAGCTCGCAAAAGGCAAATTCAGGCGGGATGGCTACCCATGACACGTCCATTCAGGCTTTGCAAGACCAATGCGACGAAACACCAGTGGAAGATGTCAGAGCTAGAATTTCAAAACCAGTGGTAAGTGAATCTCTCTGATGTATGGAATCGGCTACAGCTTTTCAATCTGACTCTTTGGGCAGTGGATTCTGATCGTCATCACGATGATGTCGTCTACCTTTCTTTTCTCACTCGACAACAGCATCGTTGCTGATATCCAACCAGCAATCATCAAAAGCCTGGGCGGAGTCGAGAAGCTTGGCTGGCTCGGTGTTGCCTTTGTCCTCGGCACTCTTTCCACCATTATCTTTTGGGGCAAGATAATGGGCCTCTTTAACGTCAAATGGGCCTACATCACGTCGATTGCCATATTTGAGGTAGGTAGTGCTATATGCGGTGCTGCTCCGACTATGGACGCTATGATCATCGGCCGAGCTATTGCTGGCGTCGGTGGTGCTGGCATGTACGTCGGTTGCCTGTCTCTTCTTTCTTTGACTACCACGATCCGCGAGAGGCCCATATACATGGCATCCATTGGCTTCACGTGGGGCGCTGGAACTGTGCTTGGCCCTGTGGTTGGTGGTGCATTTGCTGAGAATACACATACTACATGGCGGTGGTCGTTCTACATCAACCTCTGCATCGGCGCTCTATTCGCCCCAGCATTTCTGTTTCTCCTACCCTCAAGCGATCCAAAAAGAGGTGTCCCGCTTTCCAGTCGCCTGAAACAGCTGGACTACATCGGAGTCGTCCTCAGCATTGGGTTTCTTACTCCCTTCGTCATGGCCATTAATTTTGGTGGTACTGTCTATGCTTGGGATAGTGGACGAGAAATTGCTCTCTGGGTTGTATCTGGTGTTGTTTTCCTGTCCTTTTGCATCCAGCAAAAACTCTCACTCATGACTACCAAAGAAGACCGCCTGTTCCCGGGAGACTTTCTGCGCATGTATGACATGTGGCTACTTTTCATCTGCATGGCATCCGCATCCACTTGCGTTTTCGTTCCTACCTACTACATTCCCCTCCACTTCCAGTTCGTGCGTGGAGACCAGCCGCTCGATGCCGGAGTTCGTCTCTTACCATTTATCTGTGTCATGGTCTTCTGTGGCCTGCTCAGCGGTGGCTTGATGACTAAATCCGGGTACTATATGCCCTGGTTCCTCCTTGGAGGCTGCTTAACCCTGACTGGTGGTGTGCTCATGTACACCGTTGGTGAAGACACTTCCACGTCACATATGTACGGCTACATGGCAGTCACTGGTGCGGGTGCTGGTCTATATATCCAGGCATCTTACGGAGTTGCACAAGCGAAAGTGGCGGTTAACAGAGTATCCGATGCTGCTGGCTTCATATCTTTCGCCCAATATCTAGGAATCACCTTGTCATTGGCAATATCTGGCACTGTCTTTCAAAGTGTGGCGTTCGACAAGCTGCTGCCTCTTTTCCCTGCAGAGCCTGCCAGTCAGGTCCGAAACATCATCACGGGCGCTAGTGGTGACCTTTTTACAGCATTAAATGGGTCGATGAGACAGGAGGTCTTAGCCATCATTATCGATGCCATGAGCAAGACTTACGTTCTAGTCATTACAGCAGGGGCTGTTACTGTCATTTGCGCCGCGCTTATGAAGGTACGTTGCTTTGTAACCAATCTTCCCATGGTTCGAGCTTTACTAACGTCTACCAAACATCAAGCGGGAGCGTCTTTTTACAGAGTAGTCAGGTCAGGTCACACTGATTCGAGGTACCAGACTTGCCATCAAACACAAACTTATGCAAATGCACTTTGGCCGATATCTGCAACGGGACATGGGAAGCTTTCATATTATCTGCTTCTGTCTTCCTGCTTCAAGGAGATTTCGTCTTCAAGGACTGTATGGGTTTGTGTATTGATGGCAATTTCTCAATGTCCCTCGTTCCTCATTCAATTTTGTATTCTTTTCAAAATTCTATCTCAATTCGTGTCGTAGATACATCTGTCGACTCTCAATGAGCTCAATTTACCTTTATTTAATGATTGCCTAGATATTATTCTCTGCAGGCGTCGTAAAGCTTGGTGCAAACTGGAATTCTCTAAATAGTGTTAGCAACGAAGAACGCACTATAATAACGTGTATCCTGACCTGCTGAACTTCCAATTGCCTGCTACCAGCATCGCTGACTTGGCTATACTGGGTACACCGGGGGGGAATTGCTGCCGCTCTTCCACAGTCAGGCATCGCATAAGATACGTTGCACACCACAGATGTCCGTCCTTTTTCATCATTGCCAGACGGCGTATTTTATCCTCCTCTTCAATTATGCTAAGGTCCTCCTGTAAAACCTTGGGTCCAATGCTGTTGAGAAGAGCTGCTTCGTCATTAAAGGTCGGTTCAACCTCGTTCCAAAGCTTTATTAGCAGCTTTGACACGTTATCTCCAAACTTGGCATCCTTTGCCTCACGGGCCTTATGTAGAGTATCAGTAGCCTGGCGGCATGTTTGACGCAGCTGGTTGTGTACTTCCCCCCTCTTGTCTAACTTCTGGTTATATTTGCTCAAGAGAGGAAACCATGAGTTATCAGCAGCGTCAAGACGAGACTCCAGCAGGCCAATTGCATATAGAGCATATCGGACAAAGTATTCCTTTGTAGACAAGTCTACAGTAGATGCCTTGGTTACGCAGGACTTTAAGCTTCTGCTGATGACTTTGTCTGTTAAAGAGATCGACAAAAGTGTCGGCGCTGAATTAACCCATGTTAGCAGACGTTGTTTCTCGGCACTTATTCACGGATACCTAGCGCTTACTTGATTCTGGTAATTTACCCGAAATCACTGACATGTTGTTCTCGCAAAGTAAAAAGTCCGTCAGAAATGTTCAATGGCTAAGAGGGTTGCATAAAGTCGGTATTCAAAATACCACCACTCGGGCCCTTAGATGGACACAGATAAAAGACAAGGGAGAATTCCCTGTGCATAAAAGCTCCTAACATCATAAAGTATCTTGCCTAGAGAATCAAAGAAAAACAGCCGCGTGGGGGTGTCGTATCATGCTAGTGAATTCGGGGGAACGGGGCGAGCTGCTGACACAAGCTGCATGATGAGAATCCTGTTCGGATCGAGGAGGATTTGCTTCCTGCCACTAAAGCCATCCTTCGCCTGCCACAAGTCGTCGTAATCAACGGGAGCTCTACGGAAATTTGGCATCGTTTGAAATGTGTTCCACTGCTTAGTCGAATATCTTGAATTAGGCTAACCGAGGGACAGTCAGACATTTCAGTCAGGAACGTGATGGCTGTTTGCTGACAATTCTTCACTCGCAGCTCGAGCGTCTTCGGAGACATTGTCTAAAGACTTTCTCGTCTTCTTACATACACATTCCATGAGAAATTCTGCTGACGGATCCTTACGGTAATCTGTAATCCGTAATGCATCCAATGCGCTACTCTATAGTTTAGAGCTGTACCGTAGTTTGGAACGCATGAGATATAACATATACATATCCAGCGATCTTGTTCTGGTCAACAATCAATCAATTCGCAGAAAGATATTGGATAACTCTTCATTATGTCTGCTATTACAGAGGTTTCCCCGTCCACTCCATACCTTTTCAAGGACCCAGCTGTCGTTGAAGCCACTCTTATGACTTTGCTTGCCCGTGTTCAGATACTCGAGGATAGAACAACAGACGACTCAACTGGCACGTCTACCAGTTCGAAGCAATTCTTCCATGCACGAGTTGAGCATCAACCTGCGGAAATTGTCTTGCTCAATGAGAGCAATTCTGTAGTTAATTTGACCATTGATGGCGGAAAGAAACCCACCGTCAGTGTCTCTGAAGTCGAGAGCTTAGATGATTTTGACCTGGCGAACAAGATCCTCGATGTCATCACATCTTACGGGGTTCGTGAGGAGGAATCCCAAGGGAAGCCCTACGAAGCAAGGAAGAAATTCCTCCCCATCATTTTGGAATGTCTCAAGACGGAAGCCCCCATCAAATTAGTTCTCCCAGCATTCCCGTTCAAATCTCCCAACCGCTCTAACAAGGTTCTCGGCGCCCTTCCAGATCTTGGAGAAGATATTGCGCTTGAAAACCTCCAAGGCCTCTGTGATAATATTCGAGACATATACGAACACGGTGCAGATTGCTACATCACATCCGATGGTCTCGTCTACAACGGTCAGTCATCTTCATGTGCTTGTGATTTAGTTTGGCTAACGAAAGGTATTTTGATGTCAGATCTTCTTGGAGTCGACGATCTGGACGTCTGGAAATACGGAGAGGCGCTTCGTCATATGGCGAAGAGAAGAGGGCTTACGAGCATTCAGTTCTTGCGGCTGGCAGACTTGCTTGCAATGGCTCCTCACAGATCGTCGGACACCGGCAGTGGGGAACTCCCAACTATCGAAGAACACATGGCTTGCATCCGTAGAGAGTTCCTCGCTCGATATCACTCCCCCGGATTCGATGCTAGTGCCGCCATCAAGCAAGACATTGACACGCGACTGACATATCAGGGCTACCTCCGATTTCTGAAGAAGGATCTGGAGGGCTGGAAAAAGCTGAAATATGATCAGGCTGGAAAGCCGATCGGTTCAAAGAAGTCGCAGAAGATGATTGGTGATATCGCTAAACGCATGGTTGCGCGGGGTGCGGCGTTTGCTGCTGCCATCAGAGACACGCATGGCGACTGTGTGCGTCTTTCCATCCATCCTACCGTCGCAATCACCAAATTCCCCGTCAATCTGATTCCGCAACCATCCGGCAAATTTGGTGCGACTCCGTGGCACTCAAGCATTGCACTTAGTCTCGACGGCTCGCTCGAAACTGGCCACGCTGAGGACTTTGCTGAGACCCATGAGCTGATTTATCTCAACGGGAGACCATACTACTACCGCGAGAAGTCTGAACTGTTTGACTGGGGAGGCATCAAGGTTGAATTCGAACCTATGTATCCTTGTGGTCTCATCATCCGTCCTGCTGACGGTCCTCTATCCGCCCGTCATATTCCCATGGGAAAGGTTAAACAGCTAAGCATTAATTTATCGCCGATAGTTCTACGTGGCTTCTCTGATACTCTGGATGAATCCATGTATGTGGAGAAAGCTCATGAGGCCGGTACGGTACTTCCATGGAGTTTTGGCATTATCCAGAAAGTCAAAGACGCTGGCGACAACACCAAGAAGGGCAACAACGTCACTTCAAATGAGGCCATGCCCATGCATTTCGATGGCATGTTCAAGTTCGAAGAGCGTCAAGATCCCGCCACTGGAGAAACTCACAGAGTCCAGATTCCGCCAGGATTCCAATTCTTCACCGCCCCTGCTGTTGCTCCTGAAGGCACGGGGTACACTCTCTTCGCCTCTTCACGGCTCTTCTTCAAGTATCTGCCTGCCCCATATAGTGCTGAGAGATTCGAGAAGATCAGATGGAATATGGACAACGATGGATTTTGGGACGCCAAGATGAAGGATCTGCCCTTGGTGGTCCGTCACCCAGGTAAGTGCCATAATACGACGTCCCCTCAGCGCCGGCAACATATTTACTTACTAACTCCTTTGTAAACAGCAACGAATGCGCCATGTCTCCGTTGGCATGAGCCATGGGACGAGACCAAGACCAAGTTCTCCACTTGCACGGTTACACTCAGCAACGACGAGGCGGAGATCATTGATGTTACCACGAAATTGCTCTATGACAGGAGAGTTTGCCTGAGATTTACTTGGCAGAAAGGGGACTGGCTTGTCAATGATAACACATCGATGCTACACACAAGGACAGGGTACACGAGTGGATGTGATAGAGAGCTGTGGAGGATCCATATTGATTGAGGTTTGACAAGACGGAAACAATTAATTAGGCAATTTTCGAAGCTATTCCTGGCTATTACATTTACTATTCTTATTCTAGTTTTTTCTTCCCTATTTAGACCTTGATCTATTCTATTACTCTGATCGCATTGTTTGCATTCACTTGAAACGGCCAAATGATCAGAGCCGCTCAATTATGGTAACAAGAATCATGAACTTCGAAACCAGAGGCATTTGTGTCCATGTCGCCGCAACGCGTCATGGAATGGCACCTAGAATATCGCTCATCGGGGCTTAGATTGTCAAAAACAACGCCTGAATTGTTATGATGACTGGCGTTCAGATAGAGTTCACCCCTGTCAGATGTACTCAATTTCGCGCAAACTAGAAGACCTAACGAACTCAATGATCTGCATGGCAACAGTTGCTACATCCCGACCCGCCACAAGTGACAACACGTAAAGACTGGCATCAATGCCACTGGAGATTCCCCCACTAGTTACGATTCTTGTGCCGTTCCCAAGGGCTCCTCCATCCACATACCGAGCTTTGATCACTTCAGTGCCAGTCTCGCCATTTCCCAACGTGCTATCACAAACATATCGTAGAGTTTCAAGCGCTTTGCTGTGTGTTGTTGCCTTTCGCCCTTTCAATAGGCCAATGTATCCCAGGAGCAACGATCCTGTGCACACGGAAAGGATCATGCGTCCTTGTCTTCCTATGCGCTCAGGCAGTGCTGCAAATGACCGAATGAATTCCAACTCGGTGCTATCGGGTCGGCAAAGACTCTTCAAGGTCCTCACGGGTCCGCCGGGTACGACGAGGATATCGTAGTCCATGATTCTTGCGAGTGCTTCTTGGATCGAGATATGGCGGTTCACGCAAAGGCTTCTGGATGACTGGATTACCATATCGGCAGCAATAAGTGTGATGTCGAAGATTTGCCTTGGGTTTTCGGAACCAGGATTGTCGAGGACATTTGCAAAGACCTCATAGGGCCCAGTGTAGTCCAGCACGTCATGGCCCTGAAACATCAAAATGCAGACATGCATTTTGTTCATGATGTTATCTTCTTATTCCATCGTTAATCAAGCGGGTTAGAGTACATTGTTTTAAACATCATCGTCTCCAAATCTTTAAGCTACATTACGTACCTATAACTAAGTCGCTACCTGATTGCAGGGCTAAATTATGTCCTACAGCGGTCTTGCCATAGTACATCAACTAAATTCTCTCTGCTGATTCAAGGTCTCTCAAGTCTAGAGAGTGCGTGGGTGGTGTGGGGGTCTGTGTCATTGCTGACTCGGCCTGCATATCTAGAGCAATCAACGGCGGCACAGGCCAGTAAGAACATATCTTTCCTACCATTGCAGGGGTTTTTAAAGTATAGCGCCAAGGATTGAGAACACCACAGAACTTAGCCCACAGTGGCTGTATGCATACGCTGTCAGCGAACCCCTGTAACTAATATTTAGTAGGCTTGCTGCGACAATGAGTAAGTTCTAGGTAAATATTAAATAAACTTGGTGAAGCTATAGGTCAATGCTTTCTAACTTTTCAAGCATATGGAAGGACTGCAACTACTGCTCCCAGTCTTTCAATTTTCAAGTTGCCTACTTACACCATAACTATGTCAGCCTCCGCCAAGCACTACAGCGTCGGTGTTCTTGTCTTTGACGGCGTTGATATTCTCGACTTCGCTGGCCCCATAGAGATTTTCTCTCATGCCTCACATAACAAAAGCCCGGACAATCCCGACCGCATCTACAAGTGCCAAACAATTGGTCGCAGCCATACCATCAGGGCTGCTGATAGTCTGACCGTCGCTGTCGACCTCCTGATAAACGAAGCCCTGCTCGACTTGCAGCAATTTGATATCCTCGTCGTGCCCGGGGCGCCTCCTTCAATTATAACACCACTATTGGCACCGGAAAGTCTTGAAATGCAGCTTATCGCCGCTTTCGCAGAGCTTCAGCCTAGGATCTGTGAGACGGAGCCTCGGATCTTGTTCTCCGTCTGCGTTGGTGCCTTTTTCCTTGGAGCTGCTGGAGTTCTGGATGGGCTGGACGCTACAACGCACCATAGAGGCTTGGAGAGGCTGGGAGAAATATGCCGCGCTGTAGGAAAGGAACCGGCTTCTATTGTCGAAAAGAGGTTTGTAGACGGGGGCCTCAGCAAGAACAAAGCTGTCTTAGTTGTTACAGCAGGTGGTATCAGTAGTGGATTAGATGCGGCATTGCATATCGTAGGCACACAAACATCAAAGGACATGGAACAATTTATCAGAAGAGTTATGGAATACTCTTGAGAAATATTATTCCTGTAAACGGCGAATCTTATGCAGAATTTGGCACGTACTAAGTTCTCTCGGCTGCTTTAAGCTCTCAGCCACAGGTCTCAGCAGCAAATTTAGCACGTAGTTACAATACATGGACCTCATCCTGTCTGAGGTATATCCTATGAAGACAATCAGATGAATATCCTGAGATCCTGATGTTCTAAAGATTTTAACTATTGGTAAAAGTTGAAGGTTCTAAGTACTTTTCACATTATTAATTACCCAGCTTCTGTTATAAATGGCAAGTAACTTGACTTCCACCTATAGATGAATATCTCTATTATAACTCTGTTCTGGCTGAACTGAAGACTCGATGATAACCATAATAACATACCGACGGCCTATCTTCAATTTGAGGTATGTTTTACAACCAAACTGACAAAAGCCAAACATGTAGGGGACACCTCTATCGTTATTATAAAGGCTAGAGCTGCATGAACTACAGGTAAACACAAGTGCCCCTATCACATCGGATCCAAGCAGCTCTAAAGATTCGTGGGTGCATATGACTAGACCCCGGAAGGGAATAGAGCTGATACTCCTCCGACCTGAGGTAAATTTGTTTTATGTTTCACCCTCTGTACTGTTTACACGATGAACCGCCGTGGGATACTCAACCCTAGTAACATCTCTATACTTTTTTTTATAAATGAAAGGCATATTTTTAGTAAATATTCTTTGAAACGGCGTTTGCTTCACCAGTGAAGGCAATAAATTCCTCACGATTTTGAAGTACCTATCTCTTTCGGGATTGGCGAGTCATGGATCTGTGCTTGAGAATCTAGATCGCGGGAGAAAGCGGAGAATAATCCGATCGATTGATGATCGATCACTTCTGACTCGATAAGCTTCTCAATTGAGGTATATCTGTATGATCGACATACCCAAACGGGTAATCAGCAGAGTTCTTGCTTAACCTCTTCGCCTTATTGAGCCATTGAGTTCGTTGACTCCATGATCTTCACTTAATTCAATTTACCGCATCCAGACCTGCAACAACTTTCTGGTCAAGAGTCACCAAAATCTTGACTCGACCACACTGACAATTTTACCTCATAGCTTAACACTAGACAAATCGCACCACGTTTCAAATATAGATCGGCTTGAAGTTAATCGGTCTCTTTTCAGCCTCTGAAGAGTGGCTTGGTCCAGGCCGATAGATCTTTAATTATCTTGTGGATTGTGGCTGGGCCAGCTCGTTAGACAACCCGTCTTTGCCGACTGTTGATCCGGGAGGCGGGCCGAGGACGGGTTTACGTACGGTTGGTTTCTGTTTGCTGCGATGCAGCTGCGTGGAGGGGAATTGCAGATCGGTGAGAAAAGCCTTATTAACTTTCATAGCAAATGGTGGGAATTATGTGATTCAATGGTTTCACTCTTCAGGAAAAGCTCTTGAACGGGGCCTTGATGCAGCTCGTGGGAAATAAATATCAAGAATCACTCATGTTTGTTAGATGGGGATTAGGTGGTCAAATAAAACTGCTAAGTTGCGTTATGTTTGTTGCGCCACGGGGATCAGGAGGAGGCACGGAAACATCTCCACATATCAGTCTTACTACATGCTTCTAGCTATCTCAGCCACGATCCAGACAAATACTCTAAGACAGATGTGAAGCGGCTCAGTTGTATACGGTCTGTATATGAAGACAAAAAAGAAAGAACGGGAATACCCGGGTCTTGAACAGCTAGCTCACCACCCAGGAACCAACTCAACATTCAACTTCCACCCCGAAAGGATCTTGAACAACGTCAACGCAAAGTCATCACCAATCTCTCTCCCCTCATCCGACCCATTCTGCAAGTCAATAGGGGTAAACTTATACCTTCCAACAAGACTAGCAACAAAACATGACAGTTGGTCTCTGGCGTATTGCTCACCAACACAACGACGCGGACCACCCCCAAACGTCAGAAACGAGTACGCGTGGTCCGCTCCACCGCTAGGATTATCGAGCCATCGCGATGGATTGAAGACTCGCGCATCAGGTCCCCAGTGTGCAGGGTCACGGTTCAGCGCCCACGGTGAAAAGACAATCTTTGTGCCTTTAGGGATTCGCTCTCCTGCAAGAGTGATGTCTTGTGTTGGTTCGCGCCAGAGCAGCGTGTTGATAGAGTGGTATCGTAGGACCTCGTTTGCAACAGCGTTGAGATATTTCAGGCTATGCAGTTGAGACTGGCTAACATCAGATCGAAGCGAGGCTACATGCTCCCTGATCTCCGCTCGCAGACGTTCTTGGATATCAGGGTGTCGGGAGAGCAGGTGGATGGCCCAGCATGTAGAACCAGCCACGGTCTCTGTCGCAGCAGCAAAGAAGTGAACAGTCTGCTCAACCAAGTCCCGATGCGAGAAGTGCCCAGTCTGTATAAGCAGCGTAAGCATATCCGGATCTGGGCTTCCCACATATTTCTCCATATTTCGCTCATGATCTGTCGTTATATCCTCGGCAGTGGCACGGACCAGAGCCATGATACCATCTATTGTCTTTACCGCTCGCAGAGGCAGCTTCAGCGCGATCTGGGGTCCAATGAGTGATGCAGCACGAAGGGTAGTCTGCCCCCGCTTCGTGGTTTTGAACATCTCGATGTAGGCTTTGCCAAAGCGAACTTTTGGATCTGGAGAGTCTTTAGTGCTCTGCCCCGATGTAACTCTCTGCAGGGTCTGGAATTCAGTGCTGAAGCCGAAACGACCAATGATGTCGATACTTGCTGCTGAGACAAGCTCGATGATTCCTACAACGCCGTGTGGGGAAAATTGTTCCCTCGTTATGTGTTGCGGGAGTAGATCAACGGCGTCGACAGCCAAGTTCCAGATAGTAGGCAACCACTTCTTCATCTGAGCAGGACTAAACACGGGATTAAACCTCTTGCGAGCTTGTTTGTGCTGATCACCCTCCTGGATAAGCAACCCGTGGCCAGCGATGTTATTTGCCAGAATCCACTGAAGCTCAGGCTTGATAGTCTTGTAAGCATTCGAGGACAGCAACTCCTGCGCTGCTTCAGGGGAGGCGACGAAGATGCGCTCCTGGTTGAAGACTCCCATGTACCTGATGAGTCCCTGGTGCGGGAGGGTGTCCATCCATGTTTCTATCTCGGAAACTTTGGGCTCGTGTATGAGACGGAATAGAAGGGGGCCTTGTTTTGGGGAGGGGAGATGTTTGAGGGGGCTAAAATGGGGTTTGATAAAGAGGCGGTCGATGCAGTGTAGTACTATAGCTACAAGTGCGAGGATGGGGAACGCCCATGAGGGCTTGGTGAGATATGTTAGCAGTGACATTGTAGACTGGCAGACTTGGTGATGTTCGTGCTGGGCTCTTTCCTTGCCATGGCCAGGATATCAGGCGTGAGAGGGAGTGAACTTATGATCTTATGTGTACCCTTACATAGTAGAAGGGATCAAATGCCAGGACGGATCTGCCGAGATTCGGACATCTTCCATGAGGCCTGTATCATTTTAGTATGTTGCAGATCTACACCTAAGATTCGTAAATGTTGAGTAAGCGTCTCAAAAGACTTGTAGTTCGCCTTTTAAACAGCTACCTGCATGACAACTAAGATAAATATGGTTACAATAACCTAAAACCCCCAGTTTCCTATCACATCTAGACTGTTAATCAGAAATGAAGGTGTCCCCTGACGTCAATGAAGATGCCAGATTTTACAAAAAATGACAAGATCTTCTCACAGGGCCCATGACTTTACGGCGAAACAGCCCGGAGGTTCCCCGAGCTCCGATTCCATCCACCAAAGATGGATGGTTCAGTATTCCATGGGTCATTTCAGGCCGCTCATGAAACTCTGGGTCAAGGTAACATCTCGCTTATGACCCCAGATTACGGGATATGTCGGTCCCACATGAAAGGGTAATCCCTAGCGCTGCAGCTCGGGAAATCTGGGGTATCTGAGCAGGTTCAAAGGGTCATGTACAAATACTTTGACTTTGAGGTTATTGTCTGATTACATCAAACTACTATTCATCAACTCACAAATCCATTCTTATCGCTTTCTACTACCTATAAAAATGCACAATAAAATTGCTAACGATGTTGAGAACTCCATCTCCCTCGATGACTCTCAAAGCCCACCTTCTATTCCAGAAGGCCTGGAAGAAGAGGATAGACCAATAAACTGGCCCTCCTCCAAGAAATGGTCCATAGTAGTCAGCACCTCTCTCGCAACCTTTGTCGTCTCCTTCGGCAGCAGCGTCTACTCGGCTGCAATCCCCCACATCCAAGCCCGATTCAACGTCTCACCCGATACCGCCCTACTAGGCATAACACTCTACGTTATCGGCTTCGCCCTTGGTCCGATGGCATGGGGTCCCGCCTCGGAACTGTACGGCAAGCGACGACCCCTGTTTCTAGGCTACGCCATCTTCTGCATCTGCCAACTCCCCTGCGCACTCGCGCAGAACATGCCTCTACTCTTGGCGTTTAGGTTCTTCTCTGGTTTAGCGGGTTCTTCGAGCCTGGCTATCCTAGGTGGCATGTACGTCGACTTCCTCAGTAGACCGGCTGAACGAGGAATATCAACGGCAATTTTCAGCGTTGCGACTTTTTGTGGGCCAACTGTTGGGCCTGTCATTGGAAATCTGGCGACGCTCAAGTTGGGCTGGCGATGGACGGCGTGGCTTACTCTGATAGGAGGTGTCATCTTTGGGAGTATCGCATTTCTTCTGACCCCTGAAACGTCCGAGGTGGTGATACTGCGCCAAAGATCCAAAGGGAATACCTCGGTTACCCTATCTCGGATATATCGTCCAGAACGGGGTATATCTATATTCGTGCAGAGCTACCTCACGAAACCTGTCAGGATGTTTGTGCGGGAGCCAATAGTAAGTCAGCTACCCCAGCATTCGGAAACCTTATTGATGATCTGCAGCTCATATTTTTCACCATCTACATGAGTCTCGCTTATGGAATTATATACCTCACGTTTACTATGTACCCTCTTGCATTCGTCACAGTCCGCGGATGGTCCCGTATGGACGGAAGTCTTCCCTTTATCGGAATGACCATCGGCGTGGTTCTGGCATGTATAGGGATTTCTCTGCATAGTATTTACTATATCCAGCAGAGCCGAGTCCATGTGCCGGAACGACGTCTGCCGCCCATGATTGCCGGGTCCATTCTTTTGTCAGCAGGTACTTACCCCAGACTGCCCTGTCTTAAATCGCTGTCTCACATATTCCAGGCATATTCTGGTTCGGATGGACCTCTGACAGGTCAGTTCATTGGCTCTTACAAGCTGCCGCTGGCGTCTTCCTTGGCAGCGGCTCCATCCTAGTCTTGATGTCCGGCGTGGTCTACCTGATTGAGGTATACCTCGTCCACGCCAATAGCGCCCTGGCTATTAATAATTTTCTACGTTGTGTCATAGCTGCTACGTTTCCTTTGTATGCTACCGACTTGTTGGTGGATGTGGGGCTGGGTGTTGGTGGAACGGTTATTGGTTCCGTCTGTCTCGCGCTCTCGCCCGTTTCCTTTCTCTTCTGGCGATATGGCCGCACGGTCAGACAGTGGTCAAAGTTTGCGGAGGAGTGATTTCATTGAAGGTCTGCTATCTGCACCTAATGCCACATAGAATACGGCATGGTTGATTACTTATTAGCCTAACCTACGCCGAGTGAGAGGATGGGTACTAAAGCAGCCAAGAACAGCAGCCGATAATTACAACGACATACTCTACTTTGTAATCTCTCTCTTTGACCTTCCGTATTTACATAGAACAAAATGATAGTACCAGACAGAATCTACAATCATGAATTTTCCTACTTCGCATAAAATGAGAAAATTTACTCCTTGCTGCAACGGCTGCACAAGCTGTTAAAACGCAGAGCAAAAGGTCGCACCATAATTGCTACGTAGGTAATTCTGGGTTTCCTACAGCTGCCTTGTCAAAGCCTTACAGTGCTGCTATGGGCACGAGTCGTGACGGTTGCTCTACTCTGTGTCAGCTCTATTAACTGTTTCCTATATCCTGTAAAACGTGTATGTATTAAATATAATAATCTTCTTGTTTTCTTTTGGACAGTAATGCTTTCAATTGTGAATGTCTTAGAAGATCCTTGCATCAGGCACCCCTGCTTTAGTGGCCCCTGCTGTAAGGCACCCTTGCCGTAAGGCTGACTGGCTGCATGTCGGCTACCTCATCCACAGCCTCAATCTTTTCTCGCTATTCCGTCCAACATATCTTCATTCTTCACTGCAAATTATTTGTCAATTAAAGCAGCTATGTCAGAAAAACCGCCGAACAAACGCCAGCACACCCCGTATGCCTTGCTCGACGAGAGTGACTTGGCCAAGAGAGCCTGTCTCGAACAGCCGAGTTTTCTTGACACCTCGAGGCTTCAAGAGCCTGCTTGGCTGAATCCGATATCTTCTTCCAATCCGAGCCAGCGGAACTCATTCAGTCCGTTCGAATTGAGCGATACAGGAAGTTCGCGGCTATCTCCCCTTGGCCATCAACCAATTGGTAACGAGGATGCCGCCATGCTATCGGACAATGAGTCTGATCAGTGCTGTTTTGGAGAAGTTCGTAAGCTACTGCAGCTGTGACGAGTCCATATGCTAATAAATAGCTTCTAATCGAATTTTTGTCACCGGCCACCTTGAGTGAAGATCTCTCACACGTTCCTATTGAGCTCCGATTCTCAGGCCACGTCATAAGCCTTCATGTTGAAGGCTCTGGTACCTATATGGGCCGTATAGAATCCAAGGCTATAGTCGATCTCGTGGAGGACTACCAAGTGACCCTTGTCACCACTTTAGAATGCCCACCTGTCAAAAAGAAGAAGTCTGCTGATTCATTTCAAACACCAAAAACACTCCACATTGTCGTCTACGGGTTGCGAAAGGACATGAACGAAATTGGGGACATCCTGGAAGACTCCGAACTCTTTCTCCAGCATCCAACCGAATACGACACTCGCTTGGAGTATTTGAACCCTCAGTACCTTCTACGACCCGGCGCAACTATCCCCAAAGCTGACAGTGCGACCTTCCAAGCAATTGCAAAACAACACTCACCTGAACAGGTTATGGCGGAAAAGGCGAAGAGCGAAGTCCATCGGGTGTTTGACTCTGCCAGTGGACCGTCGACTTTTACGCATATACTACCCAGCTCCAGGCTAATAACGAGTTTGCAAGAGTAAGGATCCAGCAGCGGGAAGGGACAGTATCTAACTATGGAGCAGACACCAAAAGAAGGCCCTGGCGATGATGGTCGAAAAAGATCTTGGCTTGCTTGATAATACGACGTTTCCATCCCTCTGGAATACCGTTACTACATCAAATGGCCGCGTAGAGTATGGAGAATCTCTATCAGATAATTACCAGAGCTAATAGCTTATTGAAGGTATCGTCATGCGATCACGGGGCGAAGCGAAGTGAAACCCGCTCCAATGTGTGGGGGTATCCTTGCCGATGTCAGTCTATGCCTTCTGTATTCGCTTTTCTGTACCTCGCTGACACATCTAAGGATATGGGTCTTGGAAAGACCTTGACCACTCTCGCTTTGATCAGTTGGTTTCTGGATGTCATAGACAATCCAAGTGTTCCCGAGACTTGTCGCACGACACTAATAGTTGCACCAAACTCTAGTAAGTATATTCTTGCCGTCATGTCTAGATACCCAGTCTAACATCCTTTCATCTATTCCTGCGTGGCAGGAGCAGATCACAAGGTAAGAACATAGTCGTCTTCCTTTCAGATTTAGAACTCATTCTTCGCAGGCATGTTGTCCCCAACCAGGTTAGAGTGGTGCTTTTTCATGGACCTATGAGAGGCAGACTGGCCAAGTCTCTCATGGAGCACGATGTTGTTCTCACCACTTACGGAACACTACAGTCTGAATGGAGGTCAAAGAAAGGAGATTCTCCTCTATTCACACAGACATGGGCACGAGTCGTGCTCGACGAAGGTCAGTTCTATTCGCTCCCTATTTGTTGAATCAGCTAACAAAGTCCAGCACACCATATTCGTGAGCGGTCGACGCAAACTTTCAGGGCCGTCACTGCACTACGAACCAGCCGAAGATGGTGCCTCACCGGCACGCCGATACAAAATCGACTCGACGACTATGGAGCTTTGCTAAGTTTCATCGGAGTTCCACCATTCATCAACAAATCAGCATTTGACTTCTGGATAATGAAGCCAGTGGCCCAAGGCAATGCTGAGGGACTGAGGAGGTTGAAAAACCTTGTTGGTGCAACTTGTCTCCGCAGGACCAAAGATAGCGTGAGGAAAACCCTAAATCTTCCTGATCGTAAAGTACACGAGTGTGTTGTACAGCTGAATCCAGAAGACAGAGAGCTGTATGATTTCTTCAAGAGAAACGCTTCCCACTTGATTGCCGACAGGGGATTTGGCGACTCGAATACTGCTAAAACAACTGGGAGCATCCTTCCGATCATCAACGCCCTGAGGCTCATCTGTAATCATGGACAGAGACTTCTCCCAAAGTTTGCATTTGAGGCCTGGAGCCATCGGCGCAATGCAACCTCAGATTCAAACTTCACAACGAGCAAATTTGGGCTCTGCATTTCTTGCGGCGCGGAAGCATCACCTAATGATATGCAATCAGAGTTCGCCTGCTCTCATTTCCTTTGCTCCAAATGCACAGATTCAGACGAAAAGTATCAACTTTCACTTGATAGCGTTCTTTGCCCAAGCTGCACCAAGGATGAGGATTCTACGGCTACCGACGCAGCTACAGAAAAGGGAAATTGCCGACCGTCTGCCAAGATAAGAGCACTCATACAAAATCTTCATGTAGAGCAACAGAATAACCTTCCCACGCTTGGCAACAAACCCATCAAGAGGTTCATTTCCGAGCCCCGGTATCAATAATGTACAATACTGATAGGCCTATAGCGTTGTTTTCACGTTTTGGAGAAAAATGCTAAACCTGATTGAATCTGCCCTTCTAGGCGAGGGCTTTAAGTTTGCGAGAATAGATGGCCAGAAGTCTTTGGCAGAGAGAGCTTTGGCATTACAATCATTTCGCAATGACGAAAGGTGTACTGTGATGATTGCAACGATCGGGAGTGTCGGCGAGGGGTAAATTCAACCTGAGTATACTTATATGTTCTTGTTAGCTAATTTCTGACGACCAGGGTCGACCTGACCGCCGCCAGCTTTGTACATCTAGTAGAGCCGCATTGGAATCCAATGCTTGAGGAACAAGCACTAGACCGAGTGCACAGAATGGGTCAAACAAGAGACGTCGTTGCGACCCGTTACATTACGAACAACTCGATAGAGATGGTAAGTGCCTTCCTGTCCCGTTGGCTTCGACATTTGCGCTAATACCGTCGACTTAGTTGGTAAAGGAGATCAAGGAGAGAAAGTTGGATCTCATAAACAGCTCCTTAGGTCATCTAGTCGGGTTAGCTGATACACAGAGTTAGTACGACTATAGATCTCATCTCATAGCATATATTCCACAGATTCCATTTGCATAAATAGCTCATCATCAACATATATCCACAAAAACAAACATCCCATTCAACAACAACATATTCCTGATTGATGTATCCCCAAACGTATGTATATTATTACCCCCTATCGGCCGACAATGTCGAAGACGCGGATGGAAATCTATCTTCTGAAACTTTTCGTCTTTCTTCCGCTGCCCATTCGACTAACTCATCCCATGTCTGACCCAACCACTTGGAGATGCCTTTTGCACCAGGCTCCAAGGATGGAACGATTTCCTGCCCCTTGTTCTTCCCGAGTGATCGTATTATTTTCACATGAGGGTCTGCGCCTGATAGCAGAAGATACTTGACTAAGTCAGCTGCCTCAGTGCTGGTCTTCCTGATAGCAAGGTGCAACGGAGGGAGCTCCGCAGAAAGCTTGCTTGATCTATAGTTAACGTCGGCACCACAAGCAACCAGAGCCTGAGCCAGTACGAGAGAGCAGCTCGACGAGGCCAATATTTTCAGTAGTTTACTTGCTAAGAACGTAGGAAAGTTTCCGAGTTGGTGCTGCTCAATCCATAACGACGCTACTTGTGACTCCATCAATGGGCTCCATTTGCGGCACTCAACAATGTAGGACATTAAACGATGAAAGTGGTTTGAGGAGAGTGCGTCGTTCCACCAAATATTGAAAGTTTCAAGAGAATCAGACGCTGCTATTTGTGAAACCAAACCGGTTTTAGGAGATCCCACCGCGATTGCGCCTGTGTTGAAAGCCCACTCAACGACTGGAACGTTACGACTTCTAATAGCGTGAGACATGAATGAATCGTAGGAGCTCCAAACAATCCCTTCATCTGGTAATTGGTCTCCAAATATAAGGCGGACCATTGCAACGGAACCATGAGAGGCTAGCAAGCCCTTAAACGAAGATCTGAAAGCTGACTTGGAAGGCCATCTTGATATAATCGAGGGAAGAATCCGTTCCATCTCTTGAACTCGATCTCTCATAATGTACTCCATCATAAGTGACTTGAGTTCCTCGAGCTCAAGGGTATCGAGGTCGCTGGGAATATGTATCTCAGTTGGCCTCTGGTGGTACTGAACTCGATGTTGTTCGAGTTGGCCCAGAGAAGAGAAACCGAGAGTTGAGTATTCACAAGTTTCAACGGTGCATTTGAAGGGGCGATCGTGCTGCCTGATATGTTTGTCGCGGAGATCTCTGCTTCTCAAAGGGAATTGATGGAATCGACAAGACAAGAAGGGGCATATATTGACAGCAGTACCATAATGCTTCTGAATTTCTGAACAGTGACAATCTTTTTCATGTTTGCTGCCACTGCAAAGAAGGCTCTGTAGTATGCGATGCACACGTATTGTCGTCGCAGAGATAGTTGTGAAATCAAAATCCGACCAACTAGGGTCAACTAAGACCTTGTTAGTTGGGCATTCAACAGATCGATCGGGGTATTAATGTTACCTTCGTCCAGACGCCAGTCATAAGAAGTAGCCATAAGACTTCTAAAGTCAAGGCTACGAGAAATAGTCTTGATCTCTTTAAGGTTTGACTTAAATCTATCAAGACTCCAGAGCCCCAAGTTTGTGTCAAAGTCCTCGCTGTAGTATGGATTTGCGAGTTCCTGCATAATGTGGCCCAGCAAGGGGACAAGCTGTGGCGGCAACTCATCTCTGAAATGCCTCGTACAAAGTCTAAGGCACTCTGCCCACTGGCGGTGTGCAAAGTTGAGTAGCCGATATGCCCCAGATACTAAATTTCGCTGGATATCGTCGTCGCTGATGTCCGCATCCATCAGGTCTGAGCAAAGATATGCCAAGCAGGTTGTTGAGATTTCGATAAGTGCCTCCCCATCATCCAAAAACTTATTCTTTTGATGTCGAAGAAGATATCTGAGATAATTATTAAAACCTATCGAAATCATTTTGGGGACACTTACTCCTTCACAGTGAAGTGGACAAACCTCAGATTCTCGTCATCAGCTTCAACTAGCGGACCACAGAGGGGAAGAGTATTCAGAGTTGATCTGACAGGAGGAACACTTCTATGATCCTTCTTGATGATCAAAACCTGTTCCATCTCGTGACGAGTGATCTGAACTGGAGAGCAGGCTATCCATGACAAGATTCTCTTGCATTGCTTCTGAGCGCTTGACGGATGTTTTGTAATTCTTCGAAGAATCCTCTCGTACCTTTAATTGGATGTTAGTTCTCAGAAAGATTTGTAGGGACAAACAAGCGACTTACGCCTCATCAAGACCCTGTGGGAGGACGCTAAGCTGATCCCGGATGGAACCCAAATCCTGCAGCATTTCCACATCTTCTAATACGATCCTCGCATAGAGGAACATACCTAGTCGATGTTAGGTCACACAGTCCGATAGAAATAGGTTTAAGATAAACTTACCATCAGCCTTCAGGGCCAAGGGATTGAGCAATTCCCGAATTTCTGAGCGGGCGTCACTATCGAAATATGAGTTATTGAGCCATTCCCCACTTCGACGGGAAACGTATGCCTTGATGCAGCCAGAGTTCTTCTGGTCAATTGGCAGTATCGCCGCAACTGGCTTCAGAATCCTTTCTATTCTTTCGACTCTTCTACTACTAACAAGAAGCTTGACATGGGGCAAGCTCTTGAGCTCATCAAGGAGTAGATGCAGAAAGGCTTGCTGGGTAAAGTCATCAATTTCATCGAGGCCGTCAATGGTGATGTATGTTGGCCCTGCCGCTTGTAGCAACTTTGAGAAGGTGTTGAGAGCGAATTTGGAGTTGCCTTTCAGGTCGCGTTTCAAGTCTTTAGTGGTGTCCATAATAGTTGAGCATAGCACAGTTCGCAAATCTCGATCTTGCGATGCGAGCTGAAAGATCAGGGAGTGGTAGATAGGGATGGGGGATTTCAGATCGTTTCTGTAACTGAGAAGGGCAAATAGCGAATGACCCAAATCTTTCGTCCTATCAACCGCTGTCGATGCTAGAAAGGTTTTCCCTGTTAAGCAGCCTATCAGTGTCCAGCATGCTTTAAATATCCTGGAACCGAAGAATTGACTTACCTGCTCCAGGGATCCCTTGAAGCCATAGAACTTGGGCGGATTTCTCCTTTCCTTCAGCCCAACTCACAAACTGCTGGTCCTGAACTAGCCAAGAACCAGTCCCTTCACACCGAGTATTTCGAATGCGATCAAGGTCTTCATCGTAAGAAGGAGGGTGTATATAAGTCTCCATGGAATGAAAGTCCTGACGTTCTTGGAATTCTCTTGTCTCAGCGTAGTGCTCAAGAGCCTTCTTGCGTGCTGTGTGAGCTTCCAAAATGTCGTTGAGCGTAATCTCATTGCAAAGCAAAAGCCTATGCTTTTCTATGTTTTCAGCAATGACTTGTATCTCAGCTCGGCGTGCTGGCCACAGCGACTCAAAAAACACTTTCCAGCCTGTAACGATCAGCTTAAAGAATTATCTTATGAGAAGGCGGGTAATTTCGTACGAGTAAGTCCAAAGAACTTTAGAGAAACGAGGTAGAAATCAAGAATGTCCTGGAAGAACAATCCCAGAACATATTTCATGCGCTCATTGTTTTTGAACAACGGAACGAATTCGTTAAATCGAGGAAGAATGGACCCCATATTCTTCATCACGCCGAGAATCGCATCGAAAGACGCGACGAGGTTACTCGACACTTGGAGTAAAAGCTTGATCGGTCCCCAGATGAGAGCCAGAATATCTGGTTTAGCTTGTACAAAGACTTCAATTACGCCGGCGTATTCTTGCAGTCGCTCGATATAAGGTCCGATCCTCTTCAAACCTCGTAGTCGCTTATTGCTGCCCTGATCCTTTTGGAGCTGGTCGGTGTAGTCCCAAATGTCGTCAATCGTGGTCGCTTTTTGAAGCTGGCTGCGCAGTTTCTGATCTTTGATTCCGTTCAAAAAATCAGCTTTGGCCTTTTCAAAGACCTCGCTGACTTGGTCGGCCGAACTGAACGCCATAGTACTTTTTCGCTCTGAGGCGTCACGGGCAAGCACGGTATTTGGATGAAGAGAATTAAAGAACTTTATGAGAACCTTTGCATTTCGGGCACCGTCAGACTGCAATTGGGGGGTCGCCAATTGGTCACCGCCTGGCGAGGCAGACTTTGCAATCAGGCTCTCAGTGAGGCTGACTCTGCAGCCTAAGCCACCAACGTAGACCTAGCTCCCAGAAGCCAGTCCAAGATCATGCTTCACTTTCTGTTGTGTGATGCAAAGTTTAAAAGTTATACTCCTCAGAAATTCAATCGCTAAGACTGAGCGAATGTATCTGACACACATGACTTAGCTATAAGTCTTCAGACATTTATAACATTATAATATCCCCCATGCTACTAATAGAGTAGATAAGAGAGTACTACTAGCTAATATATTCTTCTTACTCTCTTTATCTCTTAGCCTTCCCTCACGTCTACAAACTTAAGCTTCGTGAACAAAGAAGAGATGACGCATGCTAAGAGTTTTGATGACTAATACTGAAGGATTCTCGAAGGGCGCCATTGTCAACGAGCCAAGCCAAGTATAAATGCAACCTCCACTTCGTCAGAGATAGTAAACAACTTTATTCTTACAACAACCCAGCAGATACTATTGTGTAATGCCATAATGGCTTCTTTAAAATCACGATCTGAGCTTATTGATCTTCTAAAGTCTATTTTGGAAGCTCGAAATGAGACGAACTGGGAAAGACTTGAATCCTTGTTCCAGCCGAGCATGTTGATCGACACAACCACACAGCAACGCGATGACTTCATCGCAAACCTTCAGGCTGCCACTGGAGTCTCGGTGAAACTCGACAGTTGTGTGGTGGATGTCAATGCTCAAGCCGTTGCAGCAAGAGTCGTCAAGACTGAATCGCTACCGGATGGTGAACGGTGTGAGTATCAGGAAATCATCCTCACATGGTTTGTCGATGGTCGCTTGGCAACTCTCAAACGACTCAAAGATGAAGACTCTCGCTCCGCCAAACAAAACACAACCCCTTCTCTGTTGGAAGAACTGAAACCTACATCTCTTGACCTTGAAGCATTGTACCGCGAGTACATCAAGAGTATCAACGACAAGACCATGGAAGCAAACTTTGACAAGTTCTGTCAACCATCGGTGACGCATAATACCGTGGTAAAGACTATCGCAGAGTACATTTCTCTGATTTCAGAGAGTCAAAGTGCAATCCAAGGTCTGTACTTCAACATTCAGGATCTCATCGTCGATAAGGATGCAGGGAGAGTTGCGGCCAGATTGGAGTTTACTGGTGTTCCTGTCCAGACTTGGGGTGGTGCTAAGCCCAATGGCAAGACTGTCAAGTTTCATGAGCATGTAATGTATTGGCTTAACGAAGGCAAGATTCACTGGGTTTGGTCTGTTGTTGATTTGGATACGTATCGAAAGCAGCTTCAGCAGACAGATTAGAGACGTAACAAGAACAAAAGTCTCTCCTGAATCATGATCTTGAGAGTATCAATTGTGTCAATGTATTTGATAAGTGATGCACCCATCAAGGGCCCTTGAATAAAACCCTCTCTCATAGCTGCTGGGCTAGTTAATTCCAAGTTGAGCCTTATTGAAACGATCCCATTGTGCGAAGAACAAGCACGCACAACTTATTCCTCTTTTTGTTTTCGGGTCACGAATGTCAATATCTACCTGCATCCTACATCTGCCGTTAACAAATGGAGGAACCTTGACCTTTCCACTGACACCACGATATCCAAACCTGTACCGCTCCAATTATCGTCGCTACAATCCCAAACAGTGCCGCTGCTACCAACGCAATAAATGTCAGCCAGAACGTATGCCTCGGCGATCTTTTACGCTGCGCCCATCGTCCTGGTCTAGAAACAGGTGCAGGATCTTCAGACTCAGCATATAGGCTGTGTAATCGAACCGCCCAGTGAGGGTATCTCTCAAAAAGCTCTCGCCGTGTAGTAAGTGGTCTTTCGTACACAGTCTCTCCATGGTGACACTTGAGCGGCGCTGATATCCTTCGATCTACTAGTCGGACATCATTGCCTCTCCAGCGGCACCAGCGGGAGTTGAAGTCGATTTTTCGATCGAGCCATTGTTGGTCTTGGGGTGGGAAGAGCAATCGAATAGTCTGGAGAGTTTCATAAAGGAATGCTGGGGTGCAGCATCCTCTTTAATATCCACTGTCAGTTGAATGCAGCTTGTCAGCTTTTTTTGTACATACCGTTTCAAACTATCTTCAACAGATGTGTCCCATGGTTCGTTTTTCATCACCTCGTATGTAATCTCCAGCAGGGACACCAGGTCAAAAACTCTCAAGGTTTTGGTCTGGCTGCCTATGTTCAGCATCAGATGGTCAGGGAGGTGATGAGTCCACTCCAGTTGAACGTCGGCATGGTCCTCCAGATAACGTGCGCGAAGTCGACTGACCATGAAGGGGGTATGGGGCTCGTCATCGTAGGCGTGCTTTGGGAATGTCTCTTTCAAGAAACTTGTTAGAGATTGACTTTCGCCCCAGTTAAGACCAGGGGTCGCCAGAAATACTGTCCTCGAGTCAAGGTTGATATTAACTGCTAGCATTACTCTCAGGGTGGCAACAATAATCTCTTCTATCTCGCTGTCCCGGGTTGTGATATCTTGAGGTACAGATGCCCCATTGCCTCTCTGTATCTGGCTCGTCGTAGTATTCCTGATACCTCGGCCATGTCCTAATGCTGAGATTATGGTATTTCTCAAATTCTGGCGTGTCGAGTCAGGGCTTTCCTTTAGAATTTCTGCTGCGGTGAATACATCGTCCATCGAAACGTTAAGCTGGCCAGCCTGGTCTTGGAAATGTTCGAAGTAAGCCCTGAGTTGATCCACTCGGCTGGTGCTTTGTAGTTGTAGGCCCCAGAGCCCCTCAGCTATGCGCCGTCTCTTAGCTATTGGGTCCAGCCCGGACAGTGCACTACTATCATTCGGTACAGAAATCATGCTCGAGTAAATGTAGATTAGTTAAGGAAGTAAAAATGAAGATGGTTGTGCCAGGTGAGTCTCTAGTATTATGCTTAGGGTCACATGATAAGACATGCATAAATGGCGGTGGCGGTGCTGTTTGATCTGACAATGCCTTGCCCTGGAGCCTCGTTTTCAACCCCCTCTTCTCGTCACCGTCCTTAAGTTCAAGCCAGAGGCAAATCGTGCTTCTTCAAGCTATGCTGCCTCATCACACGCACCAAGATGGTGGTATTGCAGATGCGGGAACAGAGTTTTCCTTAGAACAGGACTCAGTCGCACCTCAACTTTCGCGATCAGCTCAAAGAGGCGCAAGCTCACCACCGGGGTCCAATATCCCACGAACTTTTCAGCTGACCAACAGCACCAATCGAGGTCAATCATCGAACCCCCCTGAAGGTGCTGGGACGGGTGCGAATCGTTCTACTGGAAGGACCAGTCATCCGCTTCCAAAAGCAAAAAGGACCGTCGAGGTAAAGACTGGCAATAAGCTACTACGCCTGTTTGGGGTTGAACGTACTTCGGTCCATGATCTCCAAGTTATAACAGTCGACGAGTTCCGTGATGTTGAGGCTGAGACAAGTTACGAGAAGTACATCGACTATCTCCGCAATGCACCTCCAGAGAAGAATCCCTTAGGTCATTTCCGCAAGATCAGCAGAATGCTGATGCCTCAGCGCGCTCTAGCGTCAAAAAAGAGTAGAGAGAACCAGGATTTCCCTGTCCCTTTCATTCAATTCACAGGACTATACCACGAGGGAGAGGTGATGTTCTTGCATGCGGAATTGTTTCGCATCAGGTATCGCCCTCCTATGCCTGTATGCTATGTCGTACAGCAGATACAATTGTTGGCAGACGACGGGAACGAGGTTGAGACACTGAATTCTAATCCAGGCACTCTATGCGGTGCCTTAGTCGCGATCGGCACCGGGAATAGCCGCCAAATCAGTACCATTGGCGGCATTGTCGAAAGCAATGATGAGTATCTTGCTCTCACCACCAGTCATGGCTCTCATGAAGCTATTGATGCCTCACCTCAAATCAAGAGCTTCTTTATGCCCAAAGCTAGAGTCGACGTCAAACTCAACGAGGATGAATATGGAGATGATATTCCTCCACCGCTCGTGGTAGACACGGGTCATTTCCACAAAAGACCAATTAAACAACTACTGGATAACAAGGCTACCCCTATTTCGGCTCCTGATCCTGCCGATGCCGGTCCTCTAGGCAAGGTCCTACACACAGGAACTGATTGGTCCTTGCTTCGATTGGCTGATCAGCTCGTTCCGCCAAACTGCATTGATGAGAGACTAGTGAAGCTGCATGAACAACCTCTCGAGGACATTCTGGATGACGTGGTCTTCTTGAGTCGAGCCGCCCCAGAACCAGAGGCTTGCGAAGTTCTTGTTTATGGAGGGCGAGGTGGCTTAAACAAGCTTAATCTTACAAAGAGACCAGCCGATTTAATGCTCCCTTCAGGGGTCTGGATACGACCTTGGAAGGCGAGACATAAGCCAGCTTTCAGATGCCGTGAGTTTGACATTCCCGCCAAGGTATGAGTGAGGTCCTGACTCAAACCAGAACTACAACGAGGAGATTCCGGTGCTTGGGTCGTTAGTATCAACAAACGCACCGCCTATGGCCATGTCATGGCTGTCACACCAGATGACGTATTGATACAACCTCTTGTAGATATCTTCCAGGATATTCAGAATCAGCAGAGACTGGACGTCAAGATAGCATCTCCATTTGGGCAACTAGCAAATCTTTCTAAGCACTACTATTTCAGCAACGAGCACCGCCTGGCAATTAGTCTTGCGCGAAAAGCTTTGGATCCAGGAGTTATATCTCAGTCAATTGAGGGAAAACAAGTGACAGCTATGCTACATGGCTTCATGAAGCATACTGATGAAGGGGACAAGTTCCTATCGAAGTATTCCAGAAGCCATCTTGCCGACTTCCTTACAAACTTGATAATGTGCACTGGGCGAAACATCGATCTTATTCGCTCCCCTAAATGGACGGATGATTGGAAAACTTTGTTTGGTACTCCGATGAACATGATAGAATATGTCAACTATCTGAAAGACGCCGGAGGCTTGGCGACACTTGACGAAATTCAGGCGGCGTCAAGTCAGAGGACGATTTTAGATCAAGGTTCTCAAAGAAGAAGTCCCCAAGTCAAGGACATCGAAGCGCAAAGACGACACCAGAACAGAGCTTCAATGGCGCCAAAAAAGATCATAAAGCGAGCGTATGACTGGATCTCTAGCCTTTTCAACCATTCCGAAATGCAGTTCACAATGGTCGGACTACCAGGTTGCGGTAAATCAGATCTCCTGCGTGACATCTCCCACCACGATTCAGCCACGGCCCCAATGTCCGCCGTCGGTTTCAGCACCACACGTGTACAACGAAACGGCATCGTTGCGAAGATCTGGGATCTCAGTGAAGATGTGGAGTGGCGACTGAACTGGCCAAGGTACTCACGAGGAGTCGACGGCGTCGTGTTTGTAGTAGATACAGGAGATTCAGAGCTTTTACCTCACGTTCGTCAACAGATTCTGATGCTCATGAGCCAGCCCGCGCTTTCTGGTGTCTCACTCATAATATTCGGGAATAATTATAGCGGCCACAGAAGACTGACGACCGAGGAGTTGAAATTGAAGTTGGATTCGGACCATATAATGAACGGTCTGCGTGTTGATTTATGGGTTGGTGATGGAGCGAATTTTGATGAGTTTCTTGACTTCTTGTTAAATAGGAGAAAGGAATAAAGACTCCTATTATATTCAGAGAAACCACTCCGGCCTCTTAGCTTGGCCATTACATAAACTCATATCATGCTCGATAATATTCAACTAAGAGGGTCTATTTCTTTCCTAAGAAGCCTTGTTATGAGTCTGATTGTATGAAGCGAAAAGCCTCTCTCTGCGAGACTACAGAAAAACCGCCCATATACGGCAACCAAAAGTGGTTAGATGAGAACTTGTGTTCTTTCGTTTGACTGATCAATAGGTGTATCGCGAGCCAGAGATACATAAACTATTTGAAAGCTTTGCGTATTAATAACAACCATTGCATGTAGTCACCTTCGCAAAAAGCCCATTGATGCAAAATGATAGGATCATAGGAATTAGGTTACATTGCGGAGGTGGGTTTGACAGGGATTAGTGTCTCTCAGCCACTTTATGAATGATCAAAGGATGGGTTCTTATTCTTTCTTAGGTAGCAACGTTTTGCTCGGATTTCTTGACCTGCATTGTGGAATCTGGACTAAGAACCGTCACATAAGATACGATGAAAAAGTTTGACAGCTGAAGATTAGCCTCTAAAGCGTCGACTCAAATCAGTCGAAGACACTGGTATTCGAGACACTTGCTGCGGTATCCGGCTAGGAACCAACTGCACCACGATCAATTTGACTCATGCCAGCCCATGCCTCGAAGCCAGGGTTTTATCTTACCGGCCGCTTCACGGTCGAGGCCTTGAGTCTCATCACTTTCCAAACCAGAAAACCTTCGATCTGCGGCCTACAGAAGACACTGCGACCATCCTAATGTATAGGAAGGTGGAGCAGGAGTAGCTCATCCAGGCAGTGGAATCGAATCTCAAGCGTTTGGACTCGGTGCTTTTAGGTGCTCCGGAGGAGATTGACAAAGCCATAGATGCTCTCCATTCATCAATGTATAGGCCTCTCGGGTCTTTTATAGATTTCGGTACGACAGAGTCTAGACTGAGGTATTCATGAGGCCTTAAACGCGACAAAGTGCATTAGACATATATTGTCGAAACCTAGCCACGATATGGCCAAACTACTGGCAGGAAGGCCGCTGGACCAGATGGTATTGCCAATGAGGTTCTTTGGATGCTCATCGATGTTCTCCTTCCTTACCTCTAGCGTTTGTTCAATGCTTGTTTGAGTCTGAGGTATCACTCCCGGCTCTTCAAGCATTCAATTACCGTTATGATTCCCAAAGGAGGCGATAAGCCGCACCACCTTCCGGGAAGCTGGCTGCCCTTGGCCTTGTTACCTTGTGTTGGCAAGATCCTTGAACGAGTCGTCACAAATCGACTTCAGGAGCTCGTGATTCATTGCAATCTTCTCCCAAAGACCCAGTATGGTATGACGGGAAAATCCACAACCACAGCCCTACAGTTCCTTTTGAACCCAGTTTATGCGGCATGGAGTACAGCCCCAAAGAAGTATGTCTCAATTCTGAGCATCGATATTAAAGGCGCCTATGACAGAGTGGACCGCGAAAAGCTACTCGGGATTCCGATTGACTTCGGTATACCTAAGTGGTTAGTGGAATTTGTCGCCTCGTTTCTCAGTAACTGCAGCACCGTCGTAAGGCTTCCAGGTCTGACCTCGAAGCGATATTAGATCAACATTGGCATTCCAAAGAGCAGTCCTTTGTCTCCGGTTTTGTTTCTATTCTACACTGCACCCCTGCTCCGCATGGTGTCGGAACAGGCATGGAAGTCTGAGGCTCCAAACTGGCTCAAGTCTGTCCAATTCTACTGTTTCGCATTCGTCGACGACACCTACATAATGGTTGTATCTTCATCCTATCGAACCAACTGCAGAGCTTTAGGGTTTGCTCACGAGGGGATTCTCAAATGGACGAGACCAATGGGTGTTACATTCTCGACTGGGAATACTACATTATTGATTCCAAGCCTCCCTGGAGTTGCGACCCTGACTGCAGACTTACAGTCAACATTTATGGGTTCGATACGAAAGATGAACCTGTCGACGAGCTCAAAATTTTTGGGGTCATTGTCGACCGTCGCTTGCGATGGACAGCGCACATTGCCCAGGTAAGTTAAAGCTCAAGCCTCACCCGACATGCATCTAACAAATTGTCGTTACATAGATCGAGGCCAAAGTCGAACGTCAGCTAGCCATCTTGGCCCGATTCTCCGGTTCTGTTTAGGGCACCCCTCTCTTGGACCTGGTCACACTCTACAGAACCAAGATACGCTCAACAATTACCTACGCTTGCCCCGCGTGGTTCATTTACGGTGACTAGGAAAATCTTGACTTGTGCTTGTCCGGACTGGGCGAGATCCAGTGGGCCAAGGAACATGGAGATGGGAAGCCGAATTGGAGCTTCCCGAAGTACAATCTTGACAGGCTCAAGTAGCTGCAGTACAAGTGCCTGCTGAGGATCTCTGGAGCTCTCAAAAGCACATGCGCCAGGGTTCTTGAGAAGGAGTTTGTCATTGATAATATTGAAGTGACGCTAACACGACATGTAATGACACACCAAGCCAAGAATTTTGATACACCGGAGTATGAGTTCTTGGCGACCGTCCGAAGCGACCTTACACAGAGCGGCACGGTCACCAGAGGCGAACGACACCCCTGCGAGGTTATGGACAACCAAGCGCGACTCCTTCGAGATACCGCTCGCAACGATCTGATGCGCAAAGGCGGGGTCTCTGAGGAGCAGTTGTGGGAATCCCCCATGGAACGCTTCGACGCCATTCGCTTGTCTGCACGTCGACGTTCGACTACTGCCAGCTGCAAAGGACGGGATGAGTATCGCCTAGCGCGAGCACATCGAAAACGACACAAACCCGCGGGGCTTATCGAGACCTGTGGGCGCGACAACAGGAAGCGATACGAGGGCCTTTCACGTGCCCAATCCACCATGTTGATACAATGTCAGACAGAGAAGATTGGGCTCAACGATTACCTATACACGAGAAAGGTAAGCAAATACTACTAACACATATGCACAATTCGTCCCCTGGTAACGCGTGGCTTCTTTCTAGTGGGTCAGAGAGGTCGGGTCTTTACGACGATCAAATTTAGTGGACAGTGCACTATCTTCGAGGCATTGGCTGCCCCATAGTCGCCTGAACTCAGCGCCCAGAGTCCCCCAACCTCGCCGACAAACAGCGAGGAATGATGTCAAGTGGGAGCAGAAGCCCGATTCATCTCTGCCGTCAATTACCTCGTTAAGCACTGTGATGCAAGCCTCAGTTCTAATCCCAATATACTTTACCGATCATACTTGCACGAGTTCTATTGAAGATAACAAGAAAATGGCTTCGTGCAAATTGCCATTCACAATCGCTGTCCCTCTGGTGTCGAGGCTCTCTATTCAGTGCCTCTCTCACAGCACCCACAGAGGCTGACCAATCCAAGGCCCAGCATTGGAAAATTTACCCCATCAGTCTTGACCCTCACTCAGCCAAAATACCAGTAACGTTAACTGACTACTGATTGACTGCCCTGTCCACGTACAGACGTCACCATCACTTGACTCATCAACGATGAAGAAGTCGATAGCATGCGGCGCATGTCGCTCCTCCAAGCGCAAAGTGCTCCTCCCCCCCCTCCTCCCTCCCCTCCTCATCCCTCTCACAACAACTGACTCATCCCTCTCAGTGCATCCACTCAGGCGGTCCGCCCTGCACGCGCTGTCGCGACCGCGGCGACGAGTGCGTCTTCCCGCCCAAGGGCACATCCTTCATCTTCCGTCGGAGCCGTCTCGAGCGTCACCGGGATGAAGTCGGGGCCGGAGCTGGGGGCCGGGCTGACTCGGAGATCATCCGGGCCGGGAACTTGGCCACCACGGACCCGTTCGGCTTCCTGACGGATGAGGTCAAGAACAGTTATCTGCGGTGCTCGTACAAGTGGTCGTTCCACCATATTCCGAATCTCCTCATTGCCATTCGTGAGAGGAGGTTGGATCCTCTGCTGGTCTGGGCGATGCTGGCTATCACTGTGAGGTGCGGCATATGATTCCTTCGCTTATCATCTCACTCACATGTCGCAGGTTCTCACAGGCTGCACCGCCGGGGTATGCAACACAGGTTGAAGCAAGCAATACATTCGCTGCTCATGCGCGGTCGCTTGTTCTGTCACTTGTAGACCAACCTACAGTCCATCGCGCTCAGGTTCTCCTCATGCTGACCGGACATTCCTGGGGCGCCGGTGAGGGCAGAAGAGCATGGGTTTATCTCGGTATGGCGGTGCGCATGGCACAAGTCCTCGGTCTATTTGAAGAACCGCCACCAGCGATAACTCGAGAGGACTTTATCGACGCTGAAGAAAGACGTCGCACTGCCTGGACGTGCTTCTTAATGGACAGTCTCCTCAGTGGAGGAAAAGGTCGCGATAGGATGCTGTCGGGTGATAAGATGCGGATCCAACTCCCATGTGAGTCGGATAGCTTCAACTTTGGCCAGATCGTCCTGTGTGAAAGACTGGATGGCTCAATGCCGGATGGGGCGATGGGCACTGTCCACGGCAGTCTAGGCATCGTAGCCAACAGCATGCGTGTCGCTGATGTCTGGGGCGCCGTCGCCAAATGGGCTTGTACACGGCACGACAACACTGTACCACCATGGCAACCTCAGTCCGAGTTTCAGATGCTGCTCTCCCGACTTGAACTCTGGAAGAATTCTCTGCCCGAACGACTACGATACGAACTCTTTCTCCTACGAGCGCACAGCGTGTCTAACCAAGGTCAAGCATACTGCTACATGCACTGCATCTACTTCATGAGCGTCATTTTTCTCTACCGATCTTATCTCCCCGAAGTTGAGATGCAAAAGGCCAGAGTGGGCGATAAGGATTGGGATCAGTGGTCAACCTGGTCAAGCAAAGAGCTCGAAAAGGTTGCTGAGCAGGTGTGCGACATGCTACAAGAGATCCGCGCATTTGGCCTGTACTTCCTACGCGGTCTCGTTCCATGGATTGGCTTCACCATTTACACAGCAGTCGGAACAATGCTGTACTTTTACCACTTCCCAAATC